CGATGATTCTTCCTGGGCAGAGCATCAAGGGGCACAAGGGTCTGGGAGCCAGGAAGGGCTCGAGCTACAGCCTGGGTGCCGAGGGACCGACCACCTCGGCCCGGGTGTGGGCAGGGCCTCAGGAGCTGAAGGAGCCGACAGTCCTGGGAAGCGTCAGCCGCAGGGTCAGGCCCGACGCTGCCGGCCGGCCCTCCCAGCCCCACCTCTGCCGCAGCCGATTCCTAGCGTCAGGAGCTCCGATGGTCCTTACCTCCCTCCACCCCGTCCCGTCCCGGGTAGCTGTCGTCGTGTTCGAACATAGAGAAACCGAGTCATGGGGTTGAGTCCTCTGGTGTCATCAGGGCAGAGAGGGCCTCAAATTCTTCTTGCTGGTACCCACCGGCTCTTTCTCTCCGGCCCACAGTCCCTGTAACACGGGAGTGGGTCTGGGGGCCGCTAGGCTGAATCTGACGTCAGTGCCCGCGTCAGGGGTAACGGCGGGGCCCGGGCAGGGAGGCAGCGGGGGCGCTGCCGCTGCCGGGGTGGCCGGTGGTGATGCGGGCAGCGCAGAGCCACGCGCAGGGACAGAGTGGACTCACTTCCAGGGGGGAGGGGCCAGACGTCATGAGGGATGTTGACCCTGAGTGTCTGGTGGTCTTCAGAGGGCTTAGGAAGGATGTGGGAGGGTTGTGGCTGCGCCCGTGGAGGGGCTGTGCGTGTGTGGGGGGTCCACACGTGGCCAGGTAGGGCAAGGGGTGCCGGGGGAGGGGCTCTGTCTGGGGTTCGTCGGGGGTGTGAGAGGAATACGTTTTGTAGTCGTGGTCTATTTTCTGACAATGGAGGGAGGGCCCTGTGACCCAGAAAAAGACAGTTTGGGCCAAGTGCAGACACCTGGGAATTTTGTCTGTAAGCTTGGCTTTGACTCGATTCCTTGATTCCTTTCAGCAGCCCTGAGGTCCCTCCCTCCCGGAGAGGGGGCCACACAGGCTTAGAGACCCCAGGCCCAGGGCCCTAACCCCTCAGCAGGTCAGAGGAAGGGAAGGGTGTCCCGAAGGCTCATCCCACCCCACACCCCAGCCACACTCAGAGACACCCTCCTCCCGAAGATGGGGGCTGCCTCACCCCCCCCCCCCCGCCGGGGGCCACGTGGTCTGCTGGCCGTTATGTAGATGGAAGGGCCAGGCCCAGCGTATATACTCTCGTCTGCCATCCTGTTTTATAGATGTGGAGAGTGTGGCTCGGGCGTCCGTGGCTTGCTCTCGGTGGCAGAGTGGGCTGGCCGAGACCCTGGGCTCTCCCGACCGCAGAGCCCGTTTTCTGGAATGCCAAGGCCGGCAGTGTCTGGATCCAGCCCTGGCCCCTGTGCCCGCTCGGGGCTCCTGAGCCATGTCTGCCGCCCGGAACCCCCACTGCCCTCCCTCCGCCTCTCCGACTCCAGCCCAAGGGGCAAAGCGTTTGAAGATGACGGATGGCGCGGTGGTCCCGCCTGAGAGTGTGCGCCCCGAAACGACAAAGATCCCAGTGCAGGCTTATGGGAGGCCTTGCTCTTATAAGCTGGAAACATCCAAAGGGCATCCCTGACCAGCTGTGGCGGCCATGGTACGTAGATTGTGCCTAACTGCCTGTGGCTGTGGCTCCGGGAGCCGTGCGGCCACGGGCCCTTCTGTCCTCCCAAAGCCGCACGTCAGTAGGTGACAGAATTTGCACTTTACAGACAAGGACGCTAGGCCTAGGGGTTCCGCGGGGACCCACGGGGGGACGGGCAGGGTGAGGGCCAAGCCTGGGCGGCCTGGCTCGGCCTCCTGCCCCTCCCCCCACCGTACCCCTCGGCCACACCGCGTGCACCTGTGGACGTGCACAGGAAGGGACTTTGCAGGAGCCTTGGTGACAAGCCGTCCCAGGCACGTTGATAAGGGACGGAGGCAAATCACAAAATGATAGTAGAAAAGATGGCGTTTGTTCATACCTCCATGCGGGGCTTTCCCTTTGTGCCTCTCTTTGGTCTGCAGGGGTTTTTTTTCCTAATAACTTATGGTTATTCCTTTTCTTATAAAATGTGACGATACATTTCGGAATGTGACAAGCCCCTGGGCCGGAAAGCCCCTGTGCCCACTGGGGCCAGCGCCAGTCCCTTTCCCAGAACCCTTAGCGGCAGCTCAGGCTTGGGTTTTTGTGCGATGTCTGTCTCCTTCTAGAAGACCGGCCGAGCAGGGCCGCACTCAGTGGGGCTGCTGTTGCCAGAGGAGGCCTGGAGCCCCGCTTGGTGCTGATAATAGCCCTGCCTGCCCATTCACGTGAATGGCCCCAAGGGGCCCCATGGGCTGTGCCTTCTGCTATCCAGGCCACACCCAGAGCTACACTACTGACCCACGGTCACACATCTGGGAGAGGCAGAGCCTGGCGTCAAACCCAGGCTGTGGGTGCCCAGCCTGAGCTCTCCCTCAGACCGTGTAGGGCTCTCCTCAGCCGAGACCTCTGCCCTACCCAGCCACCCGCTGGCCTCTCTGCCACCTCCTGTGTTAGCTCAAGCTCATGTGACTCGGGGGTTCATTCATCTGTAGTTTTCGACTGTCAATCCACACACCCCTCACCCTTCCACCCCATCGATTCATCTTTCCATCTGCCCATCTGTCCTTCCTCCTGTCCATTCTTCAGTCCGTCTGTCTGTCCATCCATCCACCCACCTATTTATCCACCCCCCCACTCACCGAAGCCATCCAGCCATCCTTTGATCTGCCCATCTGTCCATCCATCTACCCAGTCACCCGTCCATCCGCTGACTTGTTCCCTCATGTGCTTATTCACCCGGCCTCCCCAGGGTGCCTGTCCTCTGCTGGGAGCTGTGGACTCAGGGACAAACCTGGCCCAGCCCTGCCTGCTAGAAGCTCGCAGCTGGGTGGGGAACCTTTAGACCTGTACCAAAGCAGCCTGAACCGCGAGGTGGCATGTTGTCTGTTCCTGCTGTGGAGAGGGTAAAGTTTGGGCATGTTTGCTCCAGAGACAAAGGGCAGGTGAAACTTGGCTGTGGTGACCGAGAAAACACCCTTGTCTTGCATGTCACCATCTTTTTTTTTTTTTTTAGTGTTTTATTTATTTCTGAGAGAGAGAGAGAGAGAGAGAGAGAGGCAGCGTGAGCAGGGGAGGGTCAGAGAGAGGGAGACACAGAATCTGAAGCAGGCCCCAGGCTCTGAGCTAGCTGTCAGCACAGAGCCCGACGCGGGGCTCGAACCCATGAACCGTGAGATCATGACCTGAGCCAAAGTCGGACGCTTAACTGACTGAGCCACCCAGGCATCTTGAGCTGCCCTTTCCCATGCCCCCACCCCCACCTTGTCCCCTCCCTACTCTGCCTCTGTCCTTGGCACTCCCCACTGTTTGGCAGTTTCCTCATCTCTGGGTTGTCTGTTCCCCTCTGCTTAGAATGTAAGAGCCACAGGGTGGGGACTTTTGTCTGTGTGTCCCTCAGAGGTGGGATTTGAATGCAAACAGTCTGGCCCCTAAGCAGATGCTGAGGTGTGTCTCTCTAACGGCCAGGATGAGGGGAACCTGGGGGGCTCAGTCAGTTGGGCGTCCGACTCCCGCTCAGGTCATGATCTCGCGGTTCGTGGGTTCGAGCCGCGCGTCGGGCTCTGTGCTGACAGCTCGGAGCCTGGAGCCTGTTTCGGACTCTGTGTCTCCCTCTCTCTCTTCCCCTCCCCCGCTCACACTCTGTCTCTCTCTCTTTCAAAAATAAATAAACATTAAAAAAATTTTTTGAAAGGCCAGGGTAGGTGTCAGGATTGACCTTGGGCGGGCTGCATCCTGCCCTTTGCCCTCTGCCTGGGCATCTGCCACACCAACTCGTCCCCCCTTCACCCTGCAGTGGCTGGGCAGGCAGGGACGTAGCTGTGTGCCCTCCCCACCCCCCCGGCCCTGTCACACACAGTCTGTCCAAGGCCGGTCTGCATCTGCCCATCAGAAAACAGGAAGACAGGTAGACACACAGTTCCTGGCCTGAGGCCCAAACCGTGTGACGTCAACACCTGCCCCTCTACTAGGATCCTGCCAGCTTTCTGGTCAGCGGGACACTCACACTGTGTGACCCTGGTAAAGTGCGTGGCCACCTCAAACCGCTGCCGTGTCGCTCACGTGGGAGAACACACTGAGCCCCTGGGAAGGCTCACGGGGTGGCAGCCATGGGGGCAGAGCTCGTGGGCTTCAGGGCGTGGCCCTCGGTGGCAGAGAGGCGCTGGTTGTTCTAGAATGTTCCATCACATCCAGCCCTGCCACTTGCCTGGCCTTGGACAAATCCCCCTCTGGGCCTCGATGGCTCCATCTGTACAATGGAGACCATCATCCTTGCTTCCCTCCGGGGCTGTGATGAGGACCCCGTGAGCTGGTGGAGGAGGAGTAAACTGTAAAGTGGGGTACACTGCTCGGGGGGGACAAGCGACCTCTTGTAGCGGCTGCCCCTTCAGGATCGCCCTGGCATAGTTAGAGGCCGGGCAGCAGGGCTGGGTCAGTCAGTGCCGGGCGCTGGGGGCGGCGCGGACCCACACCTGGCGGGGGGCCCGGGGGAGCGGGAGGCAGATGTGGGCGCGCAGGGACGCTGCGGCCCCGGGCAGTGGGAAGGGCGGTGACTCGCGTTTGCTCCTGGGCAGGGGCAGCCCTGCAGCCTGCCTGTGCTCGCCTCCACTCCCCACTGCCAGCTGGAGCTCCGGAGGACGGGGACCGGGTCCTATGAGCCTCGGCTCAGCCTCAGCCCCGTGTTGAACGTCCCGGGCAGGAGCAACCCCAGGGGGCTGGGGGGCCTGAGGCCTCCAGGCTCGGCACAGCCGCATCTCCGGTCCTCCCTGGGGGGGCTGGAGGTGGCCCGGGGCCCAGCCGCGCAGGCAGTGTGGACAGTGAGGCTGCCTCCTGTGGCCTCTCACATATTTCCCTGCCACCTGGGTCCTGAGGGCACTGGGACAAGGGTCCTTCTGGGACGGGGGGGGGGGGGGGGGGAGAACGTCCAGCTCCCCGGTGCCTGGGTATGGGCATTGACCCTCATGGCCTCTGCCTTCGGGGCCAGTGGTCAGCGGGCTCCTGTCTCCTGTCCCGCCCCCGACCGCAGGGATTTAAGGTCTGCGAGGAGCTGGCTCGTTGCTGTTGAGGCCACCCAGGTGGTGGCGCGGCTGCTGTCCCCCAGGGCCTTCCCCCCACGCCACCGCGCCGTCCATGGATTTTGTTGCTGGAGCCGTTGGAGGTAACGGACAGGGATGGGGGTATCGGGTGGGGGCCGCGGGGGCCCGAGAGCAGCCTTCCCACCGCAGTGGGGCTTGAGGGGCCCCCGGAAGGGGTCAGGACCTGGCATGGGCCGCAGGTGGGTGCCGGGAGGAGGCGCGGGGACATGAGCCTGCTCTGGCCTGGCTCTCTCAGCCTGGGAGGCGGCAGACAGGCAGTCTGGGGGTGGGGGGACACTCAGTGGGCGTGGGGCACTCGGTGGGGGTGGGGTGGCAGAAGGCGGCCTCTCCCTGTGCCAGGGGGGTCGGGATGGCAGAGCTGGGGGAAGGCACCAGAGGTCGGGGACGGGGATAATGAGGAGGGAACCGGCCTGGATCCAGAACCTGGGGGTCGGGGAGGGGGAGGGGGAGAGGCCCTGCAGAGCCCCGGCCCCACCCCCACCCCCTAGCCGGATGGGGGCTGTCCTGGCCTTGCTGGGGCCTAAACTATTTTCCCTTCTGGGGAAAGGGCTGGTTGCGAAAGACTAACCCAGAGAGATAACCGACTTGTTAGGAGACAGGCTGGGAAGGGGCTTCCCCCACCCCGGGCCGCTGACCCTACAGGCTGGGAGGCTATTTTGGGTGAGGCACCCTTGGCCTTGCTGGTCTTGTGCAACAGCCGTGGGTGCTGGTCGATACTGCTGGGAACAGGGTGGCAGAGCTGATCCAGGAAAGACTGGAGCCCTGGCCTCGCCGGTGACCTTTCTGAGGTCCTACTATGCGCCGGGCCTGAGGCCTGCAGCTTCCCTGGATGTTAGCACCCTCAGGAGGAGGCTCAGAGAAGGGGCTTGACTTGCCCAATATCACAGAGCCAGGAAGGGCTCCTGAGTCCTGTGATTTTCCTCCAGGCCAGGTCAGACGAGGGCCTCGTGGAGGAGAGACATGACGTGTGTAGACACACGTGACAGGGGCTCTGGTCAGCGTGTTTTCCAGACACAGGGGTCAGGGAGGACTCCAGGCGGGAGGGCGTGCTGCGGCAGGGCTCTGATGGGTGAGGAGGACTTTGGTGAGGTCTACCTACGTGAGGATCAAGGAGGGTAATTCTTTTTTTTTTTTTTTTTTAATTTTTTTTTTTTTAATGTTTTATTTATTTCTAAGAGAGAGAGAGAGAGAGAGACAGCATGAGCAGGGGAGGGTCAGAGAGAGAGGGAGTCACAGACTCTGAAACAGGCTCCAGGCTCTGAGCTGTCAGCATAGAGCCTGACGCGGGGCTCGAACTCACGAACCGCGAGATCATGACCTGAGCCGAAGTCGGACTCTTAACCGACTAAGCCACCCAGGCGCCCCTCAAGGAGGGTAATTCTAACCAAGTCATTCAGTCAGTCCTTTGCTTCACTTGCTTTGTTCATTCACTCACTCATTCATTCATTCATTCATTCACGTTGTCCTTTCATTCACCCACATTTATTGAGTCCTGGGATGCCTTATTGTCCTCAGGTGCTCTCACCACCCCTGGCCTCCAGGGTATGAACCCCAGGGGTCTGAGGCTCTCTGGCTTCCCCAAGGTGGTTCTGGGGGTGTAGACACTGAAGCTCTGCTCTCAGGAAAGGAGAAAAGGTCGGGACGGTGACACCCGGCTCTGTGCAGGAGAGCACCCTGGCCCAGGAAGCCTCGCATCCCACCCTGTTCCATGCAAACTTGTGGTTCCAGGCGGTCCTTCACAGAGCCCCGGGCGACCTGGGCTTTACCACTGGCCTTTGCTGGGTCGGTGACTCTCCCCCCCCCCACACCCCCTACAGCCCAAGGCAGAAGATCCCTTCACAGGCCCGAGGGCAAGGGCTGCCTGGCTGGGAGATGGGGCCCAGCCAGGGTCGGAGCCGAGGCTCTTCCAAAACGGGGACGCCGGAGGCGAGGCTGTGGAGCGTCCTGGCTTTCAGCGCGAGGCACCCCTGGGCCAAGGCACGGAAGGAGAAGTTGCTGGCAGCTTGGCAGGAGTGACTTTACCTTTCTGACCCTCAGCTTCCTGCTCTGCGTCAATGCTTGCAGGGTTGATAAGACATGGTGTGGACCGAAGCGTGGGGCTGCTCTCAGCGGGGGTCCTGCAGGGTCCTCCCCCGCCCCCTCCCCCACTCCTGCCCCTCACCTGCTTCATCTGGTTTCCTTCCAGGAGTCTGTGGTGTTGCTGTGGGCTACCCCTTGGACACGGTGAAGGTATGGCAGCAGCCAGGTCCCCCGCGCCCACCCAAAGGCCCCTGGCTGGGATCAGGCTACCCTCCAGGTGTCCTACGTCCATCTGTGGCCAGACGACTTTGGTGGCAAGCTCATCAGACCAGCCCTCCCCATGTACCTCCGGACTATACGTCAGCCCTTCTTCTCACCTGAGCCTGCTTTCCTGTCTTACCTGGGGGCTCACGGGCCCCACTCTGCCCGCATTCAGCAGGGCGCTGACATCGAGGGCTTGGCTCTTCCCCTCCCCCAGGCCTACTGACCTTGCCCTAGGCCCGGAGACACCCCTTCCTGAAGCCTGCTTCTCTCACAGGTCAAGATCCAGACAGAGCCCAAGTACAGAGGCATCTGGCACTGCGTCTGGGACACGTTTCGCCGGGAGAGGGTAGGCCTGGGGACAGGGTGACAGGCGGGGGGATGTCAGGGCCTCAGACCCAAAGCAGCCAGGGATGCCGAACCCCGCTCTGATCTGTGTCACCTTCCAAATGGAAATGATCGTACCAACCCGCGGGGTTTCTCTGAGGAAGAGAGCCAGGCATCCGGCCCACAGAGGTGCTCAGAGGAGGGCCTGCCTTCAGGAGAGGGTCTACACGGGACATCTGGGGCCTTTGAGGGCCAGGGAGGGACCCTCGAGCGTTGGCATTCCTGTCCCCCCCTGGCTGGGGACCCCTTGAAAGCAGTGCTGGGTGGAGCTATTAGGTGTCCCCCCAGCCAGCTCTGAGCCTGGTCCAGAGGAGAGACTCACAAGAACTTGGGCTTGATGCTGGCCGGGGATGAACAAATGAACCACGGCAACAATGAAACACACCATCCCACATCGTTGCCAATCACCGTCATCATCAAATAGCTGCCCTCGGTCCAGCCATGCCCTCTGTCTCTTCAATCCCTCACATAAGCTTGAAAGTGGGGTATCACGGCCCACAGTTTACAGCTGGGGAAACTGAGGCCCTGGGTAGAGACTGGCGCGGGGGCAAGACCCAGTCCCACTGGCCCAGGGCCCCTCTGACAGCCTTCTTCCTGGCTGGACCCCCGCCTGACTTGGGCCCCCGGGTCCTGTCCGCCCTCCAGGTGTGGGGCTTCTACCGAGGCCTCTCGCTGCCTGTGTGCACCGTGTCCCTGGTCTCGTCTGTGTCTTTCGGCACCTACCGCCACTGCCTGGCGCACATCTGCCGAGCTCGGTATGGCAGCAGCGACGCCAAGCCCTCCAAGGCCGATATCACACTCTCAGGATTTGCCTCTGGCCTGGTCCGCGTGAGTGTGGGGCAGGGGGGGGTTTGCTGGGGGGGGAAGGGCCGGGGGCCTCAGGCTGGCGGGGTTGGGAGAGCCCGAGCCTGCCGCCTGAGGGGCCACCAAGCCTGGCAGGTGGGGAAACTGAGGCTTGGTGAGGGCAGAGGCTGCATGAAGGCTGGGGGCTGCGGGGAAGGGCTCAGGAGATTCTCGTGGCAAAGCTGCGGAGTGCCTCTGAGCTTCTGTCTCTTCACCAGTAGAGGCCTGGTGAAGGTCAAGTAAGGTTAGGAGTGGAAATCCCCCAGCATGGAGTCTGACAGGTATGAGCGCCCACAGAGCGGCAGCCGGGATTGTTGGGGATACTGTAATTAGGAATATCACGTTACTTACCAATGTTACTAAATACTTAAGTTTACCTGTCCTATTATTCTTACATTAAATTCTTACATTAATTACATAATACATCAAGGGCATTAACATATTAATTCCGTGGTGAATACCTGCATGAACCCAACTCACACACATTTACCCAACACCTACTGTGCGCTGAGCCTGCTCTGTGCTGCCAGAGCTGTGCTGCTGAAGCAAAAGAATTGGCTCTGAGCCCTGACCATGACCATGACTGTGGGGCCAGCGGAGGCTTCCTTTTTGTATGTCATTTATCATTTATTATTATTATAAATTATTATTTTTGCTATTATTTCATTAAATAATACTACAATATTTTATTTTTATAAATTAATTATTTTTATTAAATTTATTAAAAATTTTTTAATGTTTTATTTATTTCTGAGAAAGAGAGAGAGAGAGAGAGAGACAGCATGAACAGGGGAGGGTTAAAGAGAGAGGGAGACTAATAATCTGAAACAGGCTCCAGGCTCTGAACTGTCAGCACAGAGCCCGATGCGGTGCTCGAACCCACGAACTGTGAGATCATGACCTGAGCTGAAGTCGGATGCTTAACCGACTGAGCCACCCAGCAACCCCTGTAAATTATTATTTTTAATGTTTACTTATTTTTGAGGGAGACAGAAAGAGTGCGAGAGGGGAGGAGCACAGAGTGAGAGACACAGAATCCAAAGCAGACTCCGGGCTGTGAGCTGTCAGTACAGAGCCCGACACGGGGCTCGAACTCAAGGACTGCAAGCGCATGACCTGAGCTAATGTCTGACGCTTAACCAACTGAGCCACCCAGGAGCCCCCTTTTTAAAAAAATGTTATTTTATGTTAAATCTTTATTTACTTTTGAGAGAGAGAGGCAGACAGAGTGCAGCAGGGGAGGGGTGGAGAGAGAGGGAGCCAGCCAGAGGCTTCTTGAGGCCAGGCCCTCCACCCCCGATGCTGCTCTGGGCGGGAGGCTCCCGGAGGCAGGTCCAGGGGCGGAGCGGCTGGCACCCCCTTACCTCTGCCACTTCTGCTTCCAGGTGTTCCTGACCTCGCCCACCGAGGTGGCCAAGGTCCGGCTGCAGACGCAGCCGCAGGTGCAGCTGCAGCCGCAGGCGCAGATGCAGCAGCGGCGCCCCTCGGCCTCAGGGCCCTCGGCCGCGCCCCCCACGTGTGCTGTGCCCCCTGCGGGTCCGGGGCCTGGGCCCAAGTACCGAGGGCCTCTGCACTGCCTGGCCACGGTGGCCCGTGAGGAGGGGCTGCGGGGCCTCTACAAGGGCAGCTCGGCCCTGCTCCTCCGGGACGGCCACTCCTTCGCCACCTACTTCCTGTCCTACACCCTCCTCTGCGAGCAGCTCACCCCCACGGGCCGCAGCCAGCCAGGTGAGCGGGGGCCCGGGAGGCCGGGGCAGGCCCGGCACGGTGGGAACTGAGGCCGGGAGAGGAGGCATGGGAGTGCAGCGCCCTCAACGCCAGGAGTGGGGACAGACCTGCAGTGTGGCTTTGCGTGGGTCACAGGGGTGGAGCGAGCCCCGGGCTCCGGTGCGGCCGGGCCCCTGTGCCGGGCGCCCCGCTGGCCGTCCTTGGTGGCCCCGCCGGGTCGGTGGTTGAGGCACCGATGGGTCTCTCCCTGCAGACGTGCTGGGCGTGCTGGTGGCCGGGGGCTGTGCCGGGGTCCTGGCCTGGGCCGTGGCCACCCCCATGGACGTGATCAAGTCGCGCCTGCAGGCGGACGGGCAGGGCCGGCGGCGCTACCGGGGCCTCCTGCACTGCGTGGTGAGCAGCGTTCGGGAGGAGGGGCCGCGCGTCCTCTTCAAGGGGCTGACGCTCAACTGCTGCCGCGCCTTCCCCGTCAACATGGCCGTCTTTGTCACCTACGAAGCCGTGCTGGGGCTCACGCGGGGCCTGTCCACATAGCTAGTCCCCACGCCCAGGGCCAGCCTGCCCGCGGCTTGCGGACATCGTCGTGGCTGCAGGAGGCGACGGGACTGTGGGGCTCTGGGCCCCGCTGCGCCACCACCTGGGGACAGCGGAGCCGTGCGGTGGCCAGAGCGAGCCGTGCCTGGGGCTTCGCTCCCCGGCTGCCGACCGTGAGGAGGCTCAGGGGCCCACGTGCCATCAGCCTGGGGCTGGCTTGAGGGTCTCGTGAGCCAGCGAGGAGCGGGCCTCTTGGATGAGGACACCTGTCACACGGAGCTGTTCCAACGCTCGGTCAGTTGGTCGTTCAGCGTCCCCGGGGCCTCTGCCTGCTGCCCGGGTCTTCAGGGCACCCCTGCACTCCCCCAGGGCCCGCCGCCACTCTCCCTGTGAGGCCCCTGCCCGCTCTCTTCTGCTGTTCGGTGAGCTCCTGTGCACCCGTCCCCTCTGCACCAAGCTGCCCAGAAAGGGCGCTGTCCCGACAGCCATGACCAGCTTGGTGCCAGACCTGCTCACATGCCCCTCCTCTGCAGGGGGAGCCCTGAGACTCCGCGGGGAGCTGTTGACAATAAAATGTTTTTGTTTGAATGTGCTCAGTGGTGTTGCTGTGTGGTCTGTGGGGCGGGTGGCCAGCTCATCCTGGAGACTAAGCCCTCCACACCATTCCCACTATGCAGATGGGCACACTGAGGCCCAGAACGGTGGCTGGCTCTGCTCCCTGGGCCTTTGGGGCACCGAGCCCTGCCCTGGGGGTCCCTGCAGCCTTCAGCATGATGCCAGCTCTCCCCACCACCCCTAACCCAAACCTACCCGTCTGAGTGAAACCGGCCCCTCCGTTGCCCGGACACCTGGCTGTGGGCCACCTTTCCGCAGGGCCCTGGAGGAGGGAGGGGTGGGTGTGGCCTGGGTGCTGGGTCCCTCACCCAGGTCATCACACAGCCTGACGGCAGGGGAGGGAACGGCTCTGAGAGAGATGTGGGGGGACTTGCACCTGCACCTCTGAACCCCCCTTGGGGGTACCATGTGGCTTGAGTTGTGAGCAGCCGTCAGGGGCCGGGATGGCAGGTGGAAGCCTCTGGGAAAGCCAGCCAACACCTGCCTCGATGCCCCTCACAGACACTGGCCTTGACCTTGTGTCTGCACCGGAAGACCTCTTGTGTTCTGTTTCCCAGACCCACGGGTGGGCCCTCCCTCCCCCGCCCCTCCCCCCGCCCCCCTCCCCCCCTCCCAGCCTGCTCCTGTCACATTGACCCAAGTAGCTGCTTACAGTGTGTTCTCTGCCAGGAACACCCTTCCCCCTCCTCTGCCCGGCTGACTTGGTACCACCAGCATCACCTCCTTCAGGAAGCTCTCCCTGCCTGACCACTGGGCTGCTTTTCGGGCCCCCACAGGCCCCCACTCTACCTGGACTGAGCTGCCTGCCTGATGACTCCATCCAGAACAGGCCCGAGCACAGAGTCGGGGCTCAGGGGGCGGGGTGTGGGATGAGCGAATGAAGTCCTGCAGCAGGTCCTCCCGCCCGAGGCCGAGGTGCCGGCACTCTCGCGCACCCGGGAAATGGCGCCAGACAGAAGGTTCTGATGACCCTCGAACCCTGACCGCGTCCACCTGTTGGTGTCCAGCGGTGTTACCCGCTGTGGCCTTGGAAGGACGGCTGTTGGCACTACTCCCGGCTGTGCCGGGTGCAGCTGGGGACCCTGGGGACCCCTGGTCCCTGGCAGCCGGCCCCGCCCACGGTGGGGAAGTGGTTTGCAGGAGGGCCAGTCCTGGTCCTTCCGAGGCTGCACCGGCCCCTCTTTCAGAAACGGGGAAGAGAAGGCGGGCCCAGCTGGGTATTCCCCAAAACCGTGGCCTCCTCAACAAAGGCCAGGCTGCGCTGAAGTTTCAAGTGGGAGGAGCAGGCTGGTCCCCCAGGACCCCCACCGCGGGGTGCGGACGGGAGAACCCAGGGCTCTGGGAGGGGCCTCGGGCAGAACTCCCCGGGAGAGCCGCACTGGCTGCTCGTTCTCACTGACGTGCTCCCTTGACTATGCTTTAGCAAACTGTGGGGCGGGGAGGAAGGGCTGTGGGCCTTAACAGCAGCGACCCTTGGGGGAGTCACCTGACCTCTGACCCACGGTACTGCTCTCAGGAACGGAACATGCGGTATGGCTGCTCTCATCTTCCAGGAGAGGGGGGTGGGGGTCCCCAGGGTCAGGAGGCCTGCCCTGAGCCCCACAGCCTGGGTGGGGATGAGCTGCCTGTGAGGGGCCACAGCTCCTCCTGTCCCGGCCCCGATGGTGACACGCACTCCTCCCCCAGTGCTCTGCCGCCCTGGGGGCTTCACGTGTGGCCCCTCGGTTGTCCCTCGCGGCACACCTGTGACGTGGGCACAAGGGAGCCACAAGAGGTTGTACCACATCCTGGCACTAGGGCGGGGCCCTGGGTGCCCTTGTTTGTGACACGGTCCCTCGGTGTGCGTGGAGACAGCAAATAAGAGGCAGGACAGATCTGCTCTGTCACAACTCAGTGTGGCCTTGGGCAAGTCCCAGATGAGGACGGCGGGCAGAGGGAGTCCAGGGCTGCATTCCGGCAGCGCCCCGGGCGAGCAGGTGGCCCAGCTCCTGTACCACTGGCACCACCGCTGCCCACCCTGTGGCCCGTCCCTTGTTGCGGAGTGAGAACAGCCATCCGCGGGGACACGTCCACCGCGTGACGGCTGGCACCAGGGTGGCCGCCAAGGGCTAAAAAGGCAGGGAGGCTACCTCCCAGCTGATCCCTGGGAGCCTGCGTCCCCGCGCCGTGGGGACTTCCTGCCTGTCTCCAGCCCACATCGCCCCCTGGTGGGACTGCGGGACGCAAGGGCCACCCTCGGAGGGGCCTCTGCTCTGGCCCTGGGCCTGAGACAGGCCTGTGGCTCCTCCAAGCCCGGACCCAGCACAGACACAGAGGCAGGACCGAAGCAAGTTTATTCATGCCAATGACTGACATGAGGGAGTGGGCCCTGTGTATCCAGAAGGGACAGACCCCTCGACCACACGCTTTCCCTGAGACAGGTCTTCCGCTTTTCCAAAACTACACAGGGCGCACGGTTCAACAGGCCTCCCGCGGGCGTGCCGCCAGGGCCGTGAGGGCGGCTGCACGCGGTCTAGCTACGTCCACCTGCCCCAGGGCACTGCTCTGTGCAGAGCGACTTCCACGCCAGTCACGTGTCAAAACAAAAGGATCTGCAAAGACAACAGAGCCCTCAGCACCTGGCCCGGCCGGTGCGAAGCGGCCGCTGGCTTTCGGGGTGGAGTGTCAAGGGTTCCGCGGTGGAAACGAGGTGTTAGTACTCGGGGAGGAGCGTGATTCTGGAGTGCGGCGCATGCACGGTCTGGAGTGTGCTACGTGAGCTGTAGTCTGGCCCACAGACGACGTGGGAACCGGCCAGCCAGGGCCCAGCAGCCTTCCGGCTGGGAGCTCTTGGCCACACGGACTGTCAAGCTTGTAGCTGGCAGTTCTTTTAAATCTTTGGGGGCCCAGGGTGAAATACACCTGTGCCCGTTCAACTTCCCACATAGACTTTCCAAAGCATGTTTGAGTCTAGGATCACGACGTTCTTACATGACGTAAGCACGCTCATGTTCTTTCACAGAGCGGGGTGAAGAGTGTGCCGAAGCCGCAGGGTCCCGTGGACCCAGGCTGGCCAGCGGTCACTGGGCCAAAGGTCCCACGTCTGGGGGCTGCTCTGTGGGAGAGACTCCAGCCGGATTGTCTGACCACGACATGTTAGCTGGCACCCGGTCCCAAAGGTTTTGCCGCGAGAGACAGAAAGGAGGGCATCACAGGAAGAAACAGTACAGATACACGCACGGGGCTTACAGATTCCAGGCCAGGAATTACCGTGTGGCAGAGCCTACGGGTAGTGGTGATTCGATTGGGCTGGGATTACTGGTAAATTACATCTCTTTATAAGCGTGTATAAAATGAATGTTACTGAAAGTCGTAGGACAGCTTCCGCGGAGTCATGAACTCCTTCACGATCTCGTCGGTGACCTCCTTGCGCCTGGCCTGGTGCTCGGCGATCAGGGGCTGCAGGACCTCTATGAGGGTCTTCTTGAGCTCGCCGGTGAGCATGGCCCCACTCGTGTAATCCTGCGGGGCGGGAGACCGCGGTGAGGCGCGGCAGCACGTGCCCGGCACGCCCACGTGGGGCCTGGTGCACGGGGGGCGCTCGGCGGCACGAGAGCCTGCGTCCTCGGCTGCGCTTCACGACCTGCCTGACGAGCAGCCACGGCGTGCCACTCGCCCCACCCACCTCCTTTCCGGGTGGCAGAGCTCCAGGCCGGACAATCGACCGGGCTCCCGTCGCCTTACCGCCTTCTCTATGTCGGTGCTGACCCTCCTTTCACTTGACTGCGAAAACAGGATGTTCTCCCCGAGCGGACTGGACACTCAGCACAAAGCAGCAGCGCAAGGTGCGGAAAGGTCACCTGCAGGGCCAGCACCCAGCAGCCGAGAGCCACAGCCTACATCCTGCGTGTCTCCTCCTTGGTTTTTAACGTTAAGAATAGTTCATCTCACTGCACTTCCAGCCTGGTGACTGCGATCCCGGTCAGGGGCATGCTGTCCTGTGTCACAGGAAACTCACGCCTGCGTGGTCACCCGTCCCCCCTCCCAGTGTCCCCTGTGCCGTACGGTCTTGCTATTATCAGCTTTAAACAACTTTGTATGGAAAGAGCTCTTTCTTATTCGGGACTAGTTCCTTGGAAAAGATTCCAGGGACTGGAAAACCTAAGGCAAAGGCTACACTTGTTCCCCGGGCTCTTTCTTCGTGCTCCTCATCCAACCAGAGAGGTCACGCTGGGAACACACGACCCACCGAACAGGCCTCAAAGCCTCTGCAAACACCACAGCGACACTAACCCGCTAACTCAGTGGGGGAATGGTTTTAACTGTGATGCTGCTTTGTGTGAATCTGTCTGTCCATCCGTAGAGTCCAGTAAGAGCTGACCACACCGCACTTAGTGCTTTCTCTTCCGCGCACTACCCGTTACGAGGCTTTCTGCATGTGGCTGAGTAGATGGACCTCCTGGCCTTTCATCTCGTCTCGGCTGAGCGCCTGTCCCCATGGCCCGGGCCCTAAGGGTCTCTGAACCCCATAAGCTTGGCCGCCAGCCCCCCATGTCCCGTGACAGAGCCAGGGGCCGCTGCACCCCACGGCCTGCGCTCCCACCTTCCTGATCTGCTCGAGCTTGTCGTCTTCCTCGAGGAAGAAGGTCAGGTACATGAAGGACACGTCCACGTCACAGTTGCCCCCAAACTCCCTGTGCTCCTCGATGGTGTCTCTCCCTCCAGAGAACGCATGCTTGTTGACCTGCACCAGCAAGAGCAGAGATGCTAGTTGGTTCCGGCCGCCCCGCGCGTGCAAACTGGCTGCGAGCTGAGGGTGGTGGTCGGGCCACTGACTGCTTTCTGCCCCGTCAGGGCCCAGGCGGAGGGAGGCTGGGGTTCACTGTCGGGCAGAGCCCCACGGACTGTCTCTCCCATCTGTCAAGCCCAGGTACGTGCCAGTGGGGCCAGCTGGAGAGGAGTAGTGGGTGGGGATCAGGTCTGGTCCCCCCGACCCCAAGGAACACAGAATAGGGCTGGGGAGGCCAAAGCACCGCCTGCACTGGTAGGGGGAGGGCTGGGGGGGGTCCTACAGCTCTCAGGTGATGGGTGGACACCAGCCACCTTCAGCGTGAAAGAGACCACCACGGAAGGGGGGCTGCTGCCTTCACCACCATGGAAGACAGTGGGAGCCACAAGAATGGGGCTCATAAGAGAGAGCAGAGCCCACAAGCAGCACAGAAGCAGACGGCACCTGAAGGCAGCCCTGGCTAAAAATACGCAGTTTCAGGAACTAAAGAAAGACTCAGACACTAACAAAACAGTTTTTAAGCATCACTGACGATAATCTGGGAGAAGTCAGGGCCAAGAGGCGAGAGAAGAAAAGCCAAAAAGGACAAAGTTTCCTCAATCTTTTCATGAGCAATTGAGAAACCCACTATGTACAAATGTCACCCTATTTTTTTTTTAAATGTTTATTTTTGAGAGAGAGAGACTAAGCGCGAGCAGGGGAGGGGCAGAGAGAGAGGGAGAAACAGAATTTGAAGCAGGCTTCAGTCTCTGAGCTGTCAGCACAGAGCCCGACGTGGGGCTCGAACTCATGAAGCAGAAGATCAGGAACTGAGCCGAAGCTGCTTAACCGACTAAGCCACCCAGGTGGCCCATCACCCTATTTTTCTTTAATGGGGACGAGGGGGGCAGAGCTGACAGTTTCTAGGTGGAGACGCTTATTCCTTCTCCCCAGGACTGCAGGGCAGATTACTGCCTGGACGCTCCGGAGCCCTACACAGGCAGCGGGCGGACCCCAGGGGCAGAGGCAGTTCCGGCACAAGGGAGCCAGGGACAGCCACCCCGCCGGTGGTCACCGCCAAGCAGCTGCTCCGGGAGAGCGGGCCCTGCCCTGTGCCCTGTGCAAGGGGCACTTGGGGAGAGGTGGGTCCTGGCAGCTGGGCTGCGGCAGGAAAAATAAAGACAAGTGCGGTTCATCTTTCCTCTTTTCCACAAAAAAGACCAAGTTATAAAATAAAACCAACGCAGGCAAACTGCAAGAGCTGTGGACGGCACAAATCAGCAGGAGGGGAGAGCACGCAGCAGCGGGTTCCCCTGAGGCCTGGCGCCCTGGGGCAGGCGCTGGGGGTCTGACGGGGTCAGGGGGCGGCCCTGCCTGCACAGACATTGTCCTGTGCTCAGGCTCCTGGCCACTCCAGTGCCAGGAAGAAAGTCTTGGGGACAGAATTTCCCAGGCTCCACGTGGGGGGAGGGGGCGGGGGGTGATAGAGGTGACAGTTCCCAGTCCTTGTCTGAGATGAAGATGAGGAAAGGCGTGTTTGCTGCATGTTTTAGCAGATGCATGGGGAAGGCCTGCCTCCTACGTGCTGCTCCTCCCCACCTCCCCTACCTCGGGCAGGGCCTCGGCCAACGATGGTGTGCAGACGTGCAGCAGACGTGCCATCATCACCACATCATTTAACCCGACAACCCAGTGACCCCAGTATCGCTTCCTCCGCTTTATGGATGAAAATGAGGTGCCGTGTCAAGGACCTGCAGTACATGGCAGTGAATGGCAGAGCCGGGCCGACCCTTCCCGGGACACTTCTCAGGCCGCTGAGAGTTTGCCCGGGGTGGGCCTGGCCTGTCCTCAGCGCCACTGGGGCCGTGCTGTGGGAAGCCAGCAGGAAAACGGGTTTGCGTTAGGGTGCAGGGCAGCCTTGGTTGTGGGGACCAGAATGCAGTTGTCAGAATCCAAAATGACAGAAGCAGGTGAGGCGTCCCCAAACCATGCGATTTCTGCTATAAAAGGAGCCTGTCTTGTGAGGATGTCTGAGTTGAAGGACGGGGCAACTTGACTCAACCATCGAGCTCCAAGAGCCGGTGAACTCTGGCTGCTGCGGGAGGAGAGCTGGGCTGCAGGAGCCCCGGACAGAGGCGGGCCACTGAATGTCGCCCCGGAGCCAGAGGCCAGTCTGGGAGTTTGCACTAAAGGGGTCTGTGGCCAGAAATCACAAGTGGGGGCCAGGCTGGCCAACTGCGCTATAGACCCTCACCCCGGAGGGGGACTTCCATGCCCCGAGGCCACCTGCAGGAGGGAGGGGCGGGCTCGGTGGGCTGTGGTGGGGAAATAAGAGCTGTCCCACTATTCAGGTTTTGAATTAAATCCTTAAATTTGGGCAGCACGCCACAGTCACAAACACTTCCTACGTGTGATCTCACGTAAGCCTGGCCTCAAAGCTATGGAATGGGTACCGCTGCTCCCACTTCACAAATGGCTCCCCTGGACAGCGAGGTCACTTGCCAAGTGGCAGGGCCCAGAGAGCCTGGGGCTCCTGGCTCTAGGCTACATCAGGGCCCATGCAAGCTGTGTGGACAGAAGAAGCTGCCTGGTCCCCTGAGTCTTGATTTCCTTGCCCACAAAATGGTCATGGCCTCCCTGGGTGGTTGCGAGGACTGCGAGCACACGTGGAGGGTAACGCCACAGCCAAACCGCTGTGTCCCCAGCTCGGCTGCTGCTGTTACCCTCAGGAGGGCTGGAGCACATGCCCCCCCCCCCCCCCCCCCCAGAGTAGAGCTGTGGATTCGGGAGAGGAAGGTGGGCCTGGGGACTGAGAGCGAGGGCTGGCCTGCCCTGTCCCGCCCCTCAGGTTGCTCCCTGCCCATCAGCCCTTGGGGTCCTGTGGTCCCCAAGTTAATGAAAACACCCAGACCCATAAATGAGTTCTTCAGAACAACTCAGAACCAAACAAAATGACTTCTTTTCGGGAGACCAGAGGAGCCGCCCTCCCTCCTCTGCACTCCCTGCGCTGGAACTTTCAGCCAGTAGTGAAAGCAAACAAAAAGTCCGGAGTACGCCAGCTTCCAACAGAGGGGGCAGAAGTGACGGCACCCATTTCCTGGAAGACGGTTTTGACACTAAGGGTTTCCCCGTTGTCAGGTCGAGCCTGCCAGGGACCAGAGCAGGGTCAGGGCGAGCAGTGACTCAGAGGGTTGCGTTATGTGCCTCAGATAGTTTTGGTCACTCCCTCTGTAATCTTCCAAGCTTCAACCACCACTGGATCCCAAATGAAAGGCCCCCAGCTCTGGGACAGTGAGGGGGTCGCACCTATACCGGCAGCTCAGTACCGGGCAACAGAGCAGCGCCCTGGAAAATACAGAAACTCCTAACTCGAGTTTCTTTGGTGACTCCACAAATATTTGCTGAGCGCTCACTGTGCATCTGGCCGTGCTGTGCTGTCCTGTCAAAGGGCAGCCACCCGCTGCGGGTCTCCGTGAGGACGTGTGGCCCCGCACCCCACCCTGGTCATGGGTGCCCACAGCCCAGGCGGCTCTCCACTGCTCTCCGAGGTGAAGCCTGGCCAAGCTGGTCACCCTCTCTGGCCCTCATCCCTCTCATTCCTCTAAAAGGAAGTCACCGCTACCTCCCACTGAGAAATAAACACAGACAGCATAAGGCACCTGGTCCGCTCCTGGAATGGGGCTGCGGACACAAGTCACTAACACATTTCCTGTTTGTTTACTTTAGAGAAAACTGCCCGAGCACGGTGCTGGTGGGAAAGTGAAGAGGGAAAGAAGAAATCCCCAGTTTTGCCTAAACAAAACGACACAAACAAAACAAACCCAGCTGATGCCTGGGCCCCGGGGCCGGGGCCAGGGTCAGCGTCAGGGCCAGGGTCAGGCCGCGGGCTTGCTGACAGCGGTTGTGGACACTGGCACCTGGGGCCCGTGGTGGAGGACGCCGGGAGGACAGTCCCGCCACCGTGCGTGTGCCCGTGTCCCTCAGGCGTGGTCTACTCTGTGTGCACAGGCTGGCCCCGCGCCCTGGGCGGCGCTCACCTTGGTCTTGATCTGCTTGGCGGTGTCCGTGAGGAAGATGGAGGAGTTGGGGTCGCTGGCACTCATCTTGGTCTGGGCCCCTTGTAGGGCAGGGAAGAAGGTCGAGTGCAGCAGGGCTGGTTTGGGGTAGCCGATCCTGGGGGCGACGTCTCTTGTCATTCTGAAGTAAGGATCCTGTGGTGCGAGAGGGGCCTCTGAGGACAGCAGGCAGAGGGGGGCTGGCCGTCAGCCCAAGAACAACACCCCCCTGGGGCTCCAGGGATGCTCCCGAGCTCCCAGTTAGCTAACAGAGCCGCTCCCCACCCAACACCTCTGAAAACCTCCTTCCCCATCTAAGGGTGCGGTGCCGCAGACCGAGGGCGCCCCGCCCCGCCTGCCGACCTGGTCGATGGCACATGGGATGAGGCACTGAATGTCTGTCTTGTCTCGGAAGATCTGAGGGAACGAGTTGCTGAAGGAAGGAGCCGCCTGGATGGCAGGAAAGCTGATCTTCCCTGAAAGTGCAACAAAATAGTTTTACACAGGAGGCCAACTCCTGCTCTGGTTCATTCACCCAGAGAGACGGATGGACGGTAGCGGGCTTTGTCCCCGTGGGAGAAGTGGCAGTCATGTCAGAGGGCCTGAGAGCACAGAACAGGGTGGGGGAGAAACAGACTTCTAGTCCTCACTTGCATGTCTCTCCATCCGTTTCCTCCAATCCCCTCTGCGACTGCGCTCTATCTGGCCTCCTCAGCAGGTTTCCTACTTGGTGGCATTTGCCCACGTTGTTGTTAAATATGTTGCGCCCGCAGCCGTGTCCTATAGTGTTAGCCACCCTCAACCCGTGGGCACACGGGGTCCTCAGCCCCAGTTGTTACCGATTTCTGATCCTTGGAGCCTAAAACCGTTTTCTGTCTTTCGGAAGTTGCTGTTAACACCGCCACTGCTACCTGCTTAGACCTAAAGAGTGCTCAAGGGCACCGACCTCTATGGGCTTGACAGGTGGGTGCAGGGTGAGTTCTGGGTGCTGCTTCTCTTCCCCCCTGAAAGTCTGGCCTCTGTGATGCTCTTTCCTGGCAGAGACACCCCATTTCTGCGGTCCCGTCGTTCTTGGGGGGCCAGGTAGATGGCTGCCCCCACCAGCTGGGCCTTCCCCGGGCTCACCTCTGCTCACAGCTCTACGAGAAGGTGCCATGTGTGTGGCCCCTGTTCTATAGACGTGGACGCTCAGGCTCAGACTGTTTAACAGCCAAAGCTAATACACGGCAAGCAGCTGGCTGGGCCTGGATTCAAACCCGGGCGTCTGGAAGCAAAGTGTGTGCACTTATTTGTACATCTACTGGTTTCGCTTCTCGCCCAGTGCAGCCCTCCTGGGACGCTGGGATCCCGAGCATGAAAACCCTTTCCAAAGCACAGGATTTATGCTCCAATCGTCAGGATGGAGTCTAACTGAAACATCAAAGAAGAGGCTCACGTGAGAAGCCTCCCAGTGAGGGCTCTCCACGGCGTTTGCGTTTCTCTCCACACTTGTCCCCCAGGGTCCCTCACCAACAGGCCCTGGGACGCCCCCCACGCCCCCCCCCGGCAGGACAAACTCTCCTGCGTGGCGTATCCTGGCATGCTGTCCAGGCCTGGAGCCGCGCCCTGAAAACAAAGCAGGTCAGGAGACCCAGCACAAGCCTCAGGGGTCCAGTCTTCAGGAGCTAAGGACCTAGGAGAGGAGGCTGATGCACCTGAAAGGCACAGACGTGTGTGTGCAGGGGCCCGAGCCACAGGAGAGAGCGAGGGTGGGCAGGGTGGGCTCACACAGGGCCTCTGGCCAAATCCATCCTCTTAGGGGAACTCGAGGCTCCTGGCATCAGAGCAGGTCGTCCTGCAGCTCCTGGGCCTCCTCCGGAGGTGACCCACACTGGCTGGGACCCCACGAGTGGGCAGAGGAAGTCTGGTCATCCCTACCCTTTTCTTTCTTCTAAACCTCTAGGGGAGGACAGTCTCCCGAGGTCCGCCCCACGCAGCCCAGAAACGGGGTGAAGGCACCACACCAGCTCTTCAGGCTCCCGGAGGGACCTGCCCCGGGGCTCAGTGCATGGAGGTCAGCGGCAACGCCACCACCTGAGAGCGCTCAGCTCCGGGCAGACGCCAGTGGTTCAGGGCAGCGCGCAGGGCCGCGGCGGCAGCCAGCTCCTTACCGATGCTGTCACTGTCAGTGAAGCCGAAAATGCCTTTGACCTGGTTGAAGGTGACGTGCTTCTGAATCTTCACCACGTTCTTGTAGAAGCCTGGACTCGTCCTGCACACACAATCAGAAGCAAACCCCAGGTTTACGGGGTGTCCTGCCACCAAGGCCAAGGCAGCAGACGGTGAAACCTGAGGTCGCACGTGTGGGCGGAGGACACAGAGCGCGCAGGGAGGGGCCCAGAAGGCACCCGTGGGCACAGGCACCTGTGGCGGGCAACGTGGAGAGGCTGGGGGAGGGCGGAAGAACCCTCCACTGGACTGCCTGCCCCTGGCACTGAGCCCGAGGGCCGACGCACAGGAGGCTCAGGGAACATGCCGACTCGCCTCAAGGAACCACACTGACGAGGAGCAGAGCTGGGTCTGCAACACCAGCTCTCGGGTTCCCGGTGCGGTGTCTTTCCATCCCTCGTGGCTCCTGGCAGGAAGGCCTCTCTGGGCCCTCACGCAGGGCCAGAAATGTGCGTGGGGACAGGGTGTCCAGGGCTGGCCTCCATGCCACTGCCCGTGTCCCCACGGGGCCCTGGCTGCTTCGCTCCCACCCAGAGAGGCTGGAGGCTGGCTTTGCTGTAGTTTCAGCTCCTACAGACTGGGAGGGAGCCTTGTTCGATCAAAGATCTGGATTTTGAGTTAAGTCTCAAGAAAAAAAAGTAAAATGCTCAACTCTTTAAAAGAAACTCTCAAAGGGGGTAAGACATTTGAAAACAGGATTTAGCTTTTAAAACTTCTCTCCTGACTTTAGGTTCAATGAAAGAGATCTTTCTGAGAAGAGGTAGCACAGAGCCTTTGATTTACATGTTATCTGGGTTTTCATCTCTCCTGCGTGTCCATGAAGAACGAGGAAGTTCCTGCCGAGCAAAGGCGGAGGACGTACAAGTGCGCTTACCAGCGACAGGCTGGGAAAGTCGCCGCAGACCCCACGTTCTCTCGGAATGTGCGGAGAGCAGGGGGGCTGTGCGGTGGCCTTTCACGTGCACTGCTCAAAAGTCCACCCCCCATCACGTGCCCGCCCAGTTATCTTTGTGGGTTTGCAAGAGGCGTTTGCTTCTGCCCCACCAGCGTCTTCGGGCAGTGAGGCGGGGACTTTGTTTGGCCCACGGCTGTGTTCTCAGGGCCCGGGGGCACCTGCCACAGATGGCACCCCGTGCCTACCGTACTGACCTGCTGGGACAGGCCACCCCTCACCGCGTGCGTGCCAGACTCGGCTGAGTGGAGCCTGGGGTGCTGGGCGGCGCATGTGAACCTGGCTGTAGGAGGGGCAGCTCCCAGGAAAAGGGAGCTGGACCATGTGTTTGGAGAGGGCGTGGGGAGAGGGGAGTAGAGCACACTCAGAGGCCGGCGGTGGGACTGTGGGCTGTGTCCTCTAGCTGGGGGGGGGTCACCGGCCAACCCACCAAGGGGCCTGTGAGCTAAAGGGAAGGCTGACACTTCATCCTGATGCTGACACAGAAGCGGGAGAGGGGCGGGGTGGCGGGGTGGTGAGGCCCAGAAAGTGCTGGCTGTGGGGACTGAGGCTGAGGGGCTGTGCGGGGGGCAAGAGGCAGCACCGGATGGTGTGGTGACCGGTAGCGCCTGCAAGGAGGACGTAGGGTGGGCTATGTGCTCACGCAGTTCCGTCAGGTTCTTTTAAGGAATGAGAGAAAAATAAAGCACCATGAAGATTGTAAGAGCCACGACACCTAATGTCTCATCTAACCCTATTTTGTGGACCAGACTTGGGGTGACTCATGACCACCAAACAGACGTGCCAGGTCTCAAACCCCGGGTCTGTTTCCTTTCTTCAAAGACCATGTTTCCTCAAGGACACCACAATGCCTCTATGCCCACAGAGAAGTGATTTTTAAAAACTCAAAGTAAAATTAAAAAATTATTAATTCATTTACTAGTTGGTAGAAAGGCCAGACTTCGTATCAAGGCAACGTCGCTCCATGGGTGTAAAGCCACCACTCAGACGTCAGTCCTCATAGAAGGGGACGTTCTGGGGAAACGGTAGCGAGCAAGTTGATTTGCACTGAGTGCAAACGCAGCCCGTCCCGTGTTTTCACCACATCCCGCCTTGGCCTAGTAGAGAGCATGCACATGACAGGGGCCATGCTGCCTACGTTCCTTGGGGGTTGCCCGTGCCCTGGGTGGAGAGCTGCGCCTCAGGTCCTCAGGAAGGTACGTGCTGAGCGGAAGAGCATATTCTCGGGAAACCTGACAAAGCCTTATTTTTCTAACATGCTTCTTCGTAGTCGTTTGGGATGGGACAGACCTCAGAAGTTTCAGTTCAGGGGTTTTCTGAATGCCATACTGGGGCCTACTGAGTGGCCAACTTAAAGAACTGGGCTATGAGCAGATCGTGTACCAGCGAGTCCTTCTCTGCGAGGAGCCAAGTATGCCGAGATAGAGAGAGGCGCTGACCCTGCAAACTGATGGCCTTGCAGAGAAACTACAATTCTGTCTTCAGCTGGGGAGCGAAACCTGACCTGGGGAATGAAAGCAGTAAGCCATATCCTAATGTTTCATAAAGGGAGGGAAACCTTCATCAGACCTAAGGCCACTTCCGCTGCGTCCGACTCAGCCGTGGCTGAGGCCCTGACGGCCGCGTATCCTTGTGTGGCAGGCGGCTGGGGCCCCGCTCCTTACCCCATGTAGTCAAGATCCGAGAAGATGAAAGTCTTGTTGATGTCAAAGCCGCAGGCGATGATGTCCTTGGCGTTCTCCACGGCGTAGCCGTAGGCCTGGTCCAGGGTCAGGTCTTTCCACAGGTACTTCTCGTCATCCGTCATCTGGATGACCAAGGGCACGTTAAACACGTCCTGCAGCCACCTAGGAGACACCGGGGAAGAGGCTCACTTCCCTGTTCTGCAACCGAAGACACCGTTCCTGCTAACAGTGGATGTCAAAACTCTCTTGTCTACACAACCAACCGCACGGTGTCATGCCATGAAACGTGACCGCTACGACCGACACCTAGAGGGCCCTGCCTTCAGCCCTGTGCTGCTTCGCAGGCTGGCAGCTGCCTCAGGAGGTGGGAGCACCACTGCCCTCCCGCAGGTGTGGGGATGAGGGCACAGGGAAGGGACTCTGCTACGGTCACTGGAACAGGGACAGGAGGAAACAGGCTGGCCGACCCCATCACAGCACGCTTTCTAAAGCGACACCAGGAACGTGAACAGAAGCCAGAAGGGCACCAGTGCCCTCACACCTTGTCTGTCTGACAAACACAAACGGGGGCTACCGTGTCATCTAGACATGCGTCATAAATAGCATTCCTGGTTTACCAGTAAGGGCGGTAAAGGGCACACAACACAATACTTACTTGGTGAAAATAAATGGGATGAGGTGACCTACATGCATCGCTTCGGAAGAGGGGCCCCTGCCTGTATACAGGTAAAATGGCTTCTTATTTTCATAGGCATCAAGGATTTGATTCATATCTCTAAAGGAAAAAGGAGAAAAGGAGATAGTGTGGTTTTCTGAAATAAAAATCAAGGCACTCATGCTCACCTGAAAATGATAGAGAAAATACAACACAGATAATAATTAGATTTGTTATCTATGGCGCTCATGTTAGAAAAATGACAGGAAACGTCTGCTGACAGGATTTCTCCTGTGTTTGTTTTAAAAGCATAAGGCACACAGGTTTGGAATAAAAGCTGGATACAGTTGGGCAGCCAGTGGAGCCCCTTTGGAATTTTTAAATATCAGTGTTCACACGTCATCTGCTTTCCTGGGAATGGCACCAAGCTGGCCCTGCACACTCCCTTGTTTAGAACCCCCAGCCCTGAGACTTGGAGAGCCAGGCTGGAAGAGCGCAGGGTTCTGCGTGGTCCTGACTCTGGGCCAGGGGCGAGGAATGCCCATGGGGAATGCAGAGGTGAGGTCCCCAGCTGCAGGTCTGATTCAGGCTCCCGCAGCCAGGCTGGGACCACGGGTCTTCATCTGGGAGTCGCCGTGGCGTCATCGGGCCTCCCCTAGGACCAGGGCCCACGGACCATGCACATGAAGGGTCCTCCTTCCTGACCGTGCAGCAGAACCACCTGCACATACTTCCTGGACCCCATCTTCAGAGAATCTGACTCAGTGGGTCTGGGGTGATGTCTGGAAATCTGCATTTTTAAAAAGCCCCGTCTGGGATTGCCACGTTGGCGGGTGTGAACCCACTACTCCAGGGTGTGAATGCTCTTTGTTTCCGGACAGTGTGCCAAAATAAAAGAGGCCCTTTTCTGGAGGTCTGGGTGGGAGACCCCACACAAGAACGCTCTCAGAAGTGACCCCTCGGGGCGCCTGGGTGGCTCAGTCAGTTAAGCGTCTGACTTCGGCTCAGGTCATGATCTCCTGGTTCGTGGGTTTGAGCCCCGCGTCGGGCTCTGTGCTGACAGCTAGCTCAGAGCCTGGAGCCTGTTTCGGATTTTATGTCTCCCTCTCTCTCTGACCCTCCCCTACTCACGCTCTCCCCCCCTCTCTCAGAAATCAATAAAACATTAAAGAAAAAAAAAAAAAGAAGTGACCCGTCCTCACAGCTGACACCAAGTGTTCACTGTGCCCATCTTCGGGCTCACAGGATCATGGGAATCGTTTCTTTGTGCTAAGCTTCTTTTATCTCCAGGGACTGATCGATCACAAACAGTTTTTGAAATAAGGAAAGAATAAAAAAAATGTAATTTTGGAAGAAAAGGGTCCTTCTTTGGTTCTCACAACTACCTTTTCTGGGCTTACAGAAGGGAGAAGAGGCTGTCCCGTGAGCTGTCCTTGAAGTCTCTAAGCCCCGAGGGACTGCCCCAGGGCCAGGTGCTCTTAAGGAGCAGAGGGAGCGGACTGGACCTCGCAATCTGATCTCAGCTTCATGAGGATGGCTTCCAGCAGGTGAGGGAATCTAGGCAAAGCCCACAGTCTGCAGCTTGACGGCGCATGCTACTTCTCCTCCAACCCCCCCTCCCCTTACAGATGATAAATTAGAAGGGCATTCTCAAATCTGAGGATGGCCAAAAGGTGCAAGTCCTATGCCTTCCGGAGCCAAGAGCCCACGGGGTTTCTCACTGAAGTAAGCAAGTCACATGGGCAGCAAGAGCTGTAAAATGCTGAGTTCTGATCTAAGATCAACAAAACTGGTAAACCTTCAGCTAAAGTGACCAAGGTGGGGAAAGAAGCATGAAGACTCTACCAAAGTCAGGAATGGAAGAAGGGACGTTATTACTGACTTCACGGGAATTAAAAGGATTATAAAGGAATACTAAGAACTGCAGGCCCACAAATGAGACAACCTGGATGAAAAAGACAAATTCTTAGCAAGAAACAAACGACCAAACTGACTCAAGAAGAGACAGAAAAGCTGAACAAGTCTAGAACAAGCAAAGAAGCTGAACTAGTAATCAAAGCAGGAGCCACAAAGGAGAGGCCGGGACCAGATGGCCTCACGGTGGGTCCCATCAAGTATTCAACAATCAACAATCCTTCACGAACTCTTCCAAACACACTGAAGAGGGAACATCTGCAAGCTCGCTGAGGCCAGGTTATCTCCACACTGCGAGCGACACAGAACTAAAGACCCTCACGGTACAGATGCCAACACCCTTGCAACCAGCTGCATATAAGGAGGATGAAACACCACGATCAAGTGGGACCTGTCCTATGAATGCAAAGTTGGTTCCACACACAAAGACGCCCCAGCGTGACGCACCCCATTAATATTAACATAAGACAAAAACCCCATGGTCATCTGAACAGACTCAGAAGAGTTTAATAAAACCCCATACCTTCCAAGATGAAAATACTCAACAAGCTAAGAAGAGAAGGAAACTTCCTTAATGTAACCGAGGGCATTTATGGAAAACCCACAGCTAAATGTAAAAAAACTCTCGGAAGAAAACACAGGTGCAAATCTTCATGATCTTGGATTCGGCAGCAGTTTCTTAGACAGGATGCTAATAAACTGTATTTCATAAAAATGAAACAAGTTTTGTGTTTCAAAGAACACGGTCAATGAAGTGAAGAGACAGCATACACAATCAAGTATTTGCAAACCATGTATTTGATAAGAAACTAGGATCTGGAATATTCTATAAAGAACTCTCACAGCTCAATAAAAAGATAACCTAATCAAAAGTGGGCAAAGGATAAGAATATAAAATTAGCCAATCAGCACATGAAAGGATGCTCATTATTAGTCACTGGGGAAATATAAATCAAGACACAATGAAAAACCACTTCAGGGGCGCCTGGGTGGCTCAGTCGGTTGAGCATCTGACTCTGGATTTCGGCTCAGATTGTGATCCCAGGGTTGTGCGGTTGGGTCCCGCATCAGGCTCCTTGCTGAGCTTGGAGCCTGCCTAGACCCTCTTTCTCTCCCTCTGCCCCTCCTGCCAGATCTTGCCCGTGCTCTCTCTCCCCCTCTTAAGAAAAAAAAAAAGGAAAAAGAAAAGAAGAAGAAAAGCCACTTTATACCTACGAGAATGGCTATAAAGAAACGACCACAAAACAGAAACCAGGAAGAGGGGGTGAGGGTGTGGACACACCGGAGCACTTGGCGGTGCACTACTGGCAGGAATGCAGAATCATGGGCACCGTGGAGACGTCTGGCGGATCCTCAGAAGGTTCAGGAGCTACCTTACGACGCGGCAGTTCTGTTCGCACGTTCACCCCGAGAGAACTGAGAACGCATGTCCACACAAAAACTTGTGCACAAATGTTCAGAGCAGCCTTACCGATGACCAGGAAGTGAAAATGACCCAAATGCCCAGCAATCGGGGAACGGGTCAACAAAACGTGGGCCGGGTCTATTCAATGGCACACTATTCAGGTATAAAAGGAGGGAGGCATGAACACACCCGGCAACAAACACGAGGAACCGTGAGAACCTGAGATGGTGGCTGCCAGGGCAGGGGGCATGGGGGACGGGGCTTCTTCCTGGGGTGGAGATGTTCTGGAGTTAGTGGTGGGGATGGGCGCATAGCCTTATGAGGATGCTAAAGACCATGGAACTGTGTACTTTAAACAGGTTAATTAGGTCTTAATTGAGGTAAAAGCCTTGATTATATTCTGTCTGGAAAGAAGGCTGAATGGGGCCTGGAGTCTTTTGCATGTGGAATTTTAGGTGTGCTGGCAGCCGGCTGAGCGCGATCTCATGCTCTCCCATAACCGTGAAGCACAAGCAGAACAGAACAGCCCGAGCAGAGCTTCAACAACGAGCTACAAGAACGCTTTGGGAACCTGCCCACTTTCTGATGCAATCTGCGTGGAATTTATAGTCGGAGCTAGGGATAGTCTGCTCCAGGTACACGCTCTTAGTTTCTTTTGCTACAACTTATGAGGGGCCAGGACAATGGCAGGAAGACAGCACAGTTTCAGGAAGTCTCTTGCTTATCGCGTGGGAAACGTTAAAATTGGACCCTATGATCTCTTTTCTCTTATGACATTTTATGATTTATTGTGCATGCTCTGGCATGAACCTCCTCTGCTGTGTATGTGACCTCTACCTCGTGAAGTGAGCAGTTCACAAGTGAATAAAGCCGGGGCCCGACGGTGAGGGACTGGACATGAACCCACGGCCTGTTACTGACAGGACAGAAGGTGGACCCCAGTCTCCAGACAACGGCTGTCATTTCCCCCCATAGCAGGCAGCTGGCAGGGGGGCCTCGTCGTCCCGTCTGGAACTGAAGGGAGGGGGTGGGAAGCCCTGACCTGTGTGAGAAGAAGATGCCTCTGCGCAGGAAGCGGTGTGCCCTCTGCCCGGTGGCTCTCTCGATCCGGCTCACCAGCTCTTTGTCAATCTTGCTGCTCCCGAACCGAACTGGAAAGATCAAATTGTAATAAAGCGGAAATGGCTGTCTTAGAGGGTGTGGGGTGTGGTGATCGGGCATCACTGGAGGGGAGGAGCTGGTGATCCGTGTGCAAGCTTAACGAACCCAGCCCTCTCCCAGTCCCGACCTCAACCCCAAATCATATGTCGTTCACGCTAACACTGACAGCTGAGACGACAACCGGCAAAACAGGAAATGAATTACAGAATAAAACGCTGGTTTGTCTGGGACTGGATTCTGAGGGGAAGCCTATTTGGAACTCAGTGTGGCCGGCGGCTTTTCACCTCCACCCCCTTGCCCCCGGTTGGGCTTACTGAGGTAAACTTCATGAACACCGACAACCACGATTTTAATATTCTTTCGCTGCTGAGTTGAACTAACCTGTCTACAAATGAATCTTCCCTCACTGACAGTCTATACTTAAATGATGGTAGATGGCTCTCGACTTTGACAAAACCATTTTAGTAGCGCCTCCTCTCTGGTGATCACCAGTGATCTTTGAGTGAGGACTTCCCTGAGCAGGAAGTCCCGAGAGGAGGGCTTGCCAGGGGCGACCTGTCTCCTTGAGGAGTCACCCTTCTTAAGCAGACATCCAGCTTTTCAGCTCCACAGCCGACATCACTGGAGGAGACTTAGGTGATCCGTTACTGACTTTTACCATTCAGTGAAAGGTGATCTGAATGACTGCAAAGATGCCATTGCAAGAGACCTTTCCTGAAGTTCTGAATTGCTCAAAACAGAGGAGAAAGCTACTAAGCTATCTTCTGTAGACTGTTATTTTGAAGTAAGTTTTACATTGTTATTTCAGTTGAAAAGAATCCTTTGGGAATATAATGCATGAACAAAAGATTTTAGCATCTATTTTTTCTTGGTGATGAAGTGTGACTGGGTTTATAATTCAAAATAAAAAAACACCAATGAGATCAACTAGTGACCAATGGGATCACTTCTAAAAGTTGAGGTTTCTCCCAGGACGTACCAATGAGCTTGTCATAGTCAATGCCCTTAGCACTGCTGGTCTGTACCGTCCACGGGTCCACAAAATCCTCTTCGGCCTCCATGGCACCCAGGCCTCTGTCGCTCTCAGGCGCTGGGTTCCCTGGAGGGCAGTCGGCTCTGTAATCCTCCCCCATGGCGGCTTTGTAGTTCATTTTCAATGATAACAGCATCCGTACTGCAGAATCAATTTCATCCTGGACAAAGGAAATAAGGATGAAGCCTAAAAATACTAACGTAGCTGACATTTTACTGAACATGACTGCTGTCATGTGGCAGGCCCTCACACATGTTACCTCCTTCAGTCTCATGACAGCCCTCTGAGGCAGGTATCACTGTCACTGTGCTTTTCCAGTAAGACTCTGACACTCAGAGAGGTGAAGGAGCTGGCCCATGGACACACAGCAAGTCACAGGCCCAGATGAATTTTACTTTTGCATTGTTCTAGCGGATCCATGGAATGTATGGGTTACTACCACCAACACTACAGGAGAAATGTGATGCAATATACGCTGTCATTTACGACACAGTGAATACGCTAAAGATTTCTCAAACACCAGCGATGCCAGAGAACGCGTGTGACAACCTCCCTGATCTGAGTATACAGGATTCTACATTGGACCTTGCTTTTATGTGCCACACAGTTGAGATGAATATTGGTGGCAGCTTAGATAATACCACCAGTAACGGCGACCCTAGACATCAGGGAAACAGATAAAGGCAAGGAAAAATATAGGTATTCAAGTCATAAACTAAGGAGGGATGTAGTGGGAAAGTTATAGTATTTTAGAGTCTTACCAAGCTGTCCAAAGTGTCTGCATACTGAGAAGCATGAAGAAAACAAATGTAGACTATACCCGTGGGTACTCTGGGGACCTATCAAAGACTTCCTGCTCCAGAAGCCCACACTACCACCCATGAGGGCCGGCCTCTGAAGAGCAGGCTTCATTAGGCAGATTAGTCACGCTACGCCCCAAAGCTCTGCTCCCGTAATTGGCCTTGCTGGATTAGACCACAAAGAATATACACCGTCCAATCTGCCTGCTGCAGGAAGTACGAATATTCCCGCTTAGAGCCCACACGTAATGTTCCACACACTGGGCTTCCTGGGGGAGGCCCCACACCAGCCTCCGTCCAGATGTGGCTCTGCATCAGGAGCAGCCCCGGGGCCAGAGGACTGATACCTTGGGGAGGTTCTGCAGATAGATTTGCGTTTCAAACTTGGAAACTATCAGAATTCGTTATTAAAATTAATTAGAACCCTGGGCCGAATAACCCCACAGGCTATACCTCACAGAAGAGATAGGATACTTGCCCAGGCCGGATAGGGGAGTACTCTTACTCATCTCACTCCTTGCTAAATCCTATAAATGTTTAGCAAGCACGATTTATCGGATTATCTGTGGAAAGAATTAGCTTGCTTTGAAGTACACTTTAGTCAATGCTCCTTTATCACCGGCTGTGTTGACATTTCATACTCTATCTGCTCGAGCTCTGCTGGCAACCTGGAGGCTCTCTGAAAGTCAAACATTTAAGCGGTATCCCTGCTCGGGAATGGTCTGTAGTCTGGAGTGGGATTTAAATAGACAGGCCAGCTTGCCACGTTGATTTTCTTGTTTTCTTAATCTAACATGGGACAGAATGCTGAAACAGGATTTAAATGCTGACTTCCTAGGGGAAGAAAAAAAAAATGATGACATGCAACCTGATTATGTAAAGCTCCAACACAGGCAGAACTACCCACGGTGGAGGCCTAGGGTGGAGGACAGAGGCAGTGGCTGAAGGGGCCCGAGAATGGCTTCCAGGCACTGCTGTCCGGTTTTCTGAGTTGGGCCCTGGTTACACAGGTGTGGTCATTTAAGAAAATTCAGGAAGCTGTCTGACGACGATCGCCGTACTTTTCTCACAAAATGGTGCACTTCCAATTGAAAAGTTTAGTTAAACTAAGAGCACAAGAAAAAAGACTGCTCTGTAGCTTAACCTCTATGATCCAGTGTCAGTAGTTGAGTGCTGCTCAAGCGGTGCGTGCTCCCAGCCACTGTCTCTCTTCAGAGCCCCTAGATTCTGACTTGTTCCCCACCCCCCCGGGGAATACCCTGCTTTTTAGGGAGCTGTTACCACCATATCGGTGCTCCCAAAGTGGCTCCAGTATTTTGCATAAAGTGAAGTTCTAAAACATCAGGTGCTTCTATTATAACACATTCCAGGGTCAAATTTACTTCTGACTTTTCATCATTTTGCTCTGACTTCATTGTGCAGCCTCTGATCTCTCTCGCTGAGGGTCAGCTGATGGCTTAAGTAAAGAACAAACTTGAAAGAGTAATTCTAACCTGTGTTAAGTATTGTGTGATTAACAATGAACATAACTGGAATTCCTAACTAAAAACACGTATGAAATGGTATTCATATTTAATATTAAATAGATAAAAATACCACTGTCAAGTCTTAAAACATGGGTTTAAAGAGTAAATGAGCAACATTTGGGCCCTTTATTTATTTCAAGGTTTAAAAAAAAATTTTTTTTTAATGTTTATTCGTTTTTGAGAGACAGAGATAGAGTGTGACTGGGGGAGGAGCAGAGAGACATGGAGACACAGAATCAGAAGCAGGCTCCAGGTTCTGAGCTGTCAGCACAGAGCCTGATGCGGGGCTCAAACTCATGAACTGTGAGATCATGACCTGAGTTGAAGTCAGACGCCCAACCAACTGAGCCACCCAGGCGCCCCTATTTTCAAGGTTTTTATAAACAACTTAGCCTTATCCACTGAGTCCTACCTGGTGCGTAAACTTTCTGTGAATAACCAACTCCACTGTCTTATGGTACTATTTATTTCTTTTAACATATAATGGTTTATCTGGTGTCCAAAGAGTCGAAGTAAATTGCCAGGGTGGTTGGGAGATGGTTTATACCATCTGGGGAGGACCCAGGAAGGGCTCCTGAAAACAAGACATCAGGGGTTGGAAGTGAGGGGCGAGGAAGTCACGGCGACGAAGCAGCCAAGAGACCTAAGAGTGGAGGAGGCATCGTGGAATGAAAGGCGGTGCTCGCATGCATTCAAGAGGCAGACGGAACAGGTTACACTGCTGAAACGTCCCGCAGCAACAGCAGAGGATCTATGAGAAAGGCGTGACCCCGTGGGGACAAAGGCAGCAGAAAAAGGGTGCCAGCGACAAGATTTGGGGAGCTGCAGAGCTGCCGGGTGACTGGTGGCAGGATGTCACACAGACACGGGAATGTCGCAGGGGAGTCCCGGGCTGGGGCCTCGGAGGAAGGGAGGGCGATAGTGGGTTCTAAAAACAGGAGCACGCGTTGAAATCTGTTTGAGGAGCAGCTGGTTGGCTCCCCGCCTCCCGCAAACAGAGGTTCCGTGCTAGGGAGGTGGAGTTAGAAGTGTCTAGACTGGGGGGGCACTGCACGGAACAGGGAGGCTCAGTGACAGCCACACAGCCCAGCCCCTCTGTCCCACAGAGGGTATCAGGAAAACCATCGTCAAGATCTCAAACATAAAGGGGCGCCCGGGTGGCTTAGTCGGTTAAGCGTCCGACTTTCGCTTGGGTCATGATCTCGCGGTTCGTGGGTTCGAGCCCCGCGTCGGGCTCTGTGCCGACTGCCGGCTCGGAGCCTGGAGCCTGTTTCAGAGTCTGTGTCTCCCTCTTTCTCTGACCCTCCCCTGCTCACGCTGTCTCTCTCTCTCTCTCTCCTAGAAATAAATAAAAACCTTAAAAAAAAATTAAAAAAAAAAAAAAGATCTCAAACATAAAAAGGTCACTTACTGTACCTGGGAAACAATAATGGGGTGCTATAAGGAAAGGACATTCAGAAAGCAAATGACTCGTGAAGTTAAAAAATGACAGGATAAATGAAACACGATAGGAGGATTAGGAGTTGAGGAGGGAGCGCCTGGCTCGCTCAGTCGGTGGGGCAGGGGATTCTTTATCTCAGGGTTGGGAGTTCAAGCCCCATGTTGGGTGTGGAGCCTACTCAAAGAAAAAAAAAAAGGAAACAGAAGAAGTTGAGGAAATAGATCTGAAATATATCTGAAAGAGAACAACAAAAAAACAAAATGGAAAGGAGAAATTAAGAAAAACCAAACACATTAAAAAAATGGAAAAAAAAAAAAAGGGGGCGCCTGGGTGGCTCAGTCGGTTAAGCATCCGACTTCGGCTCAGGTCATGATCTTGCAGTTTGTGAGTTTGAGCCCTGCATCAGGCTCTGTGCTGACAGCTCAGAGCCTGGAGCCTCCTTTGGATTCTGTGTCTCCCCCTCTCTCTGCCCCTCCCCTGCTCATGCTCTGTCTCTGTCTCTCAATGATAAATAAAAACATTAAGAAAAAATTAAAACAAACAAAAACGAACAGAGGGGGCAAACTTCTAGGGAAAAAAATCCAGAAGAAACAGAGAAAACAGGAGAGAGGAAATCAAAGAAACAATAGAATTTCTGAGAATTAACAGTCCTCTTTTTTTTTTTTTTTTAAGTTTATTGAGAGAGAGAGAGAGAAAGCAAGCACACGCATGAGAGCACCTGGGAAGCCCGGTGAGGCAGGGCGGGGAGCAAACCTTCGAACCACGAGAGCATAACCTGAGCCCAGGTCGGACGCTGACCTGACTGAGCCACCCAGGCGCCCTGAGAATTAAGGGTCTTAAGTGTCTAGTTAGAAAGGACTGAGCACTGAGTACAGCCCAAGAAATATCAGAACGCTGGAGCGGAGAACCTCTCCTGCAGACTTCCACAGAGACAGGGCAGGGGGCAGTACCTGGCTTCTCCACAGCAGCCCTGGGAGCTACGTGGACAGAGCACTGGCTTCAGAAATCTGTGGCAAAACCACTTCCACACCCACCCTGCTTATCAAACAGTAGACAAAATAAAGGTACTTTTAGACATGCAAGATCCTCCCAAATTATTTCTTTAGCACTAACTTTTTCAGAACCCATTGGAGGATTTGCTCTGTCAAGACAGAGTAAACAAAGGAGAAGAAAGACAGGATCAGGAAGCAGAGCCCACCGCGGGAATGAAGAGGGGGCAGCGTGGACAGCAAGAGCAGCAGTCCTGAGCAGGCGAAGGTCCTGGGAGAGACTTTTTCGAGAAGATGAGCTACAGACTGGCCGACATGAGTGCCCCGGGAGGAGACTCACTGACCCAGGGGGCCCGGAGACCCGTTACCATTAGGACACGGAAATGCCGAGCAAATAGGAATCAGAACACACATCAACTCCAGGGCAGGAGAGGAAGGGGAGCTGGAGTATACTCGCGGGTCTGCCTGCGGCCCCAGCGGCATGGATGCTGACACCGTGACATGCACGGGACGGCAGAGGGTGGGAGGCGCTGACGGAGGTGCTAACTCCTCTCAGCCACAGTCAGTGCCCCAAACTTGAATATCGACAAGGAGCAATAGAGAAATGGGGGAGTACATCTCAAAGAATCTGCTCCAAGAACTGAAATGTTTGTTTCCGGGCATAGGAAATGGGAACAGGCGGGTGGAGGACTGCTGGGTTGCAGAGGCTTTCTTTAGACCACACACATCAATAAAGGAGAAAATAAACTCATGGTCCAAAGACCTGAGTTACTGAGGGAACAGAGTCGTGGGAACAGTCTGCTCCTGGGAAACAGGACCCCGGACTTGGCCCAGATGCACATGCAGCGAACCCCACAGAACCCCGTTACCTGTGGAGCCTTTCCAGCTTTGAGGGACCGCACGAGCTCTCCCTGGGCAGCTACCCTGTGGAACAGGTCGAGGGGGGAGGCGCACCCCTGCTCGCCGTTGGCCATATCCGCCATCTTCCAGGACCTGGGTCTCTAGCCGGCTAGGGCGTTGGAAGGTTTGCTCAGTGGTCCCGACAAAACTGTGGGGGAGAAGGGAGAGAAGGGGAGAGGGAGGGAGAGACCGATTAACAAAGCACTGTAGCTGTTTCACCTCTCCCGCATCTACCCAGTCCTTCGTCTCGCCCATGAGGCTGGTGGAGTCACAAGCAAGGATGCGGATACGATAATGTTAGTAAGGCAGACACAGGGATCTGGGGCCACAAAGAAGGAGAAAAGAGGAAGAGCAAGTGCCAACGATGAGGGCAGAAGGCAGGGCCAGGGGTTCAGGGCAGCACAGGAGGGCCCCCAGCTAAGAGCATGTGAGCCGTGCCCAGTGCCCAGGCAGGACTCGTGTCTGCTTGGGGAGCAAATACCAAAGTGTTTTGACAAACCTAAGTCCACCAGAGCAAAGAACGCTTGGCAAACTGCTATTTACTCTTTACGCTAACTGTGCTGGGGAAGGGTTTCCAGGCCCTCACAGCCACAGCCACCAAACCACCCAAAACATGGCTTTCTCCGCCGGCCAGCTGCTCTGTTCTCAGATGAAGCGAGACCTGGAGGGCCAGGCCTTATCTGGAGTCAGGGCAGGGCCTTATCTGTCCTGGGCTCCCAAGGAGGGAAGAACTATATATAGCCTGTCCGTCCATTCTATGTGCTGCCTAACTTCGCTGCAGACCTCTGCAGAAAGTGTACTCGCACTTCTGTTAGTTATTATTTGGCGTTAACCTTGAAAAGGGTGGGACACAAGGCAGGCCACTCGGTGCTGCCTTGGAGCAGAGACCAGCCACAGTCAGTCCCCTCTTGGGTCAGTGTCCCCTAACCCTAACCCTCATCTATAAAGTGGCCTCATCAGGAACCTCTTCACCTACCTCGAGGGCTGCTCTAAAGAAGAAATGAGGAAAAACCAGCAGGTAGCCTTTCGTAAACTAAATCAAGATATACACCTATTACAAGGACTGTCATCAGGGTTCTGGGGCTCACCCAGATCTCAGCTCCGTCTACGACTTGGCGGCTGTGCCTTGAATGAGGACTGGACAACGACAATGGGCTGTGCCAGAGTGGCTGACTCCCGGCACTCTCGTACCTGCTACTTTTCTGGGCACCTCATCCACATCCACTCGCTTAGGCTTCACGGTAATCCTGTGAGAGAGATCGGCTGTCTCCATTTCACGGATGAGTCAACTGAGGCACAGAGAGGGTACAAAACTTGCCCAAGACAACACAAGTGGTAGAGACGGGACATAAGCTCAGGCTGCAGCTTCCACTCTCCGAAGCTATCCTACGTATCCCCTGACTGTGAGGTGGGGCCGACGGTACCACTACCTGCAAGACTGGTGTGTGGATGGAATGTAACAGACAGCGTGGATTAACTGATAAACAGTCCATGACAAAATCAGCCCTGCGGCAGGGATTCGATAAATGACTATTTTGTGTCTCTGATTATTTATATTGGTGTGAACCAAACGCACACACTTAAGGGGTAATTTTTTTTTTTTTAATAGTCATCACACCCAGCATGGAGCTCAAAGCGGGGCTTGAACTCACAACCCTGAGATCAAGACCTGAGCTGAGAGCAGGTTGAATGCTTAACCAGCTGAGCCACCCAGGCACCCCAGGTAATTTTTTTTTTTAAACAAACACTACTTGTGGGGCTCGAATTCACGACCCCAAGATTAAGAGTCGCATGCTCTGCCAACTGCACCAGCCAGGTGCCTCAAGGGGTAATTTATTTTTTTATCAATTCGTTAAATGTTCACTTAAGAAGTATATAAATTTTAAGTAGGCCAATTTTTATAAGTCAATGAAAAAACCATAATACTGAAACCAAAATGAGACAGTAGCCTTTTTCTTTTCCCTCCTTGCTGAGAATCACCTCAATTCCCAGAAAGGGAAGTTGGGTGAAATGATTGTCTCAGATAACACAGGCCCAGCTGAGGGAGGACTATAAAAAAAGGTAAGGAATTGGAAAAGCCCCTGACTAGCCCTGGCGAGGACAACACCCAGGCTTGTATCTAGTAACAATCAAGGGGAGGAAAGCGATTTCTAGCCACAGATGACCATGGAAGCATCGCTTCCTCAAAGCAGTGAACCTGTTCTGCATTAGCCGATGAGAGGCTGATGGTGCAGGGAAGTCAGAACCGCTCTGAGGTTCCGCCGCTGGCGTAGCTAAGCGAGGATCTGATGCCAGAGCCCCTCTGAGTCACGTGCTCTCTGGGAATTCCAGCTTCTCCCCTGCCTGGAACGTGATACCCTCCTCTGCAGGCACACTTCCGGTCATCTTACTAATTCAGACCTCTCCTCTTTTTTAGCACCCTTTCCTGACTCCTGCGCCTGGGGCCAAGCTGATCCCTCTGTCATCAGGGGTCCCCAAGCGCTTCGTTAATAACTCTATCAGGGCACTCACACTGCATTTAGTTATTCTTGCCGTCTCCACCAGACAGTGAGGGCAGGCAGCGGGCTTTCTCTTTCATGTGCTTCCAGTGTCTCATACACGTAAGTTTATCCAACAAACATTTATTGAATTAATCACTCTCATCGGCCACCCAGTTCAATCTTCCCCTGAAGGTTTATACCTTTATGTTATCTTCACAAGTGCCTTGTCCAGTTTAAGGTAGACTTCCCCCATGGGGACTTTAAACAGCCTCATGTTTAGCATCCTACCACGGAGCGGAGGCTGCCAGGGTTTGGGAAGGGCCAGGCACCTTCTCCAGGCCTCACACTCCCAGTCTGGCTGCGCCCCCCACTAACATCTGCCTACCATCCTGGTCACTCTCTTTGGAATTCCCTCCGGTTTATCCCTGTCCTTCGAAATACATGGTGTCTGGCATAAAAGGCAACTGGTGACAGCAGTAAGGTTCTGAAGTCTGCAGGTATGGCTAACAGCAAGTACAGATCAGAATTACCCCTAAAAATGCCCAAGGAAAGTAGAAGTTAGGACAGCTGGGTGAGTGCTGGACAGACACAATCTCCCCCCTGCAATGGAGCAGGTAACTGTAGAGAAGCAGCTAGATGACTGGAGTCTGCACTTAGGGTCCATATTGTAGGGGAAAATGTCTTTCCCCAGCAGAACTCCATTCGAGAAGAAGCACACGGGAACTAAATGTAATGAGGGAACAGCAGATGAGGTCTCCCCGCTTTTGTGATCATGAGGCAAACAGAGCATGGGAACAATCCACATGATAAACTTGTGTGTGTGTGTGTGTATGATGCAATCTCAGTGATGACAGACACAACAGAACCTCTCCTGTTTCACACACCCACCCATCTACCACCGTCTCATGTGCACGCTGTCTTTTTCTCTCACATCTAGTCGACATGCTCTTTTACTTCTTTGTTGACTTTTAGAATGAAGGGTAACTTTGGAGGTTTATAACCCTTAGTTTGGCGTGCCTGAAACGACATACACACTAGCATGGGCATGGCTTTCAGCAGAGCATTCAGGTTCCAGAGTATCCGGGTTACTTTTACAAAGGGGTCTGAGATGCCAAAAATGTACAGACAACTGTCTTGGTGTCTACTGCATAAACTGCAAGTAGGGCTTTGAATCTTTATACATATTTATGTATGTATGTGTATCTATAATGCATACACACACACACACACACACACACACACACACATTTAGAGAAAGCGAAAGGTAGGTAGGGGAGAGAGGGTCAGAGGGAGAGAGAATCTTAAGCAGGCTCCAGGCTCATTGGAGAGCCCGACGCAGGGCTCGAGCCCGTGACCCTGGGATCATGACCTGAGCCGAAATCAAAAGTCGAATATTCAACCAACTGAGGCACCCAGGCAGCCTTGAATCTTTGTTAAGGAGAGTTGTTTTATCTATTTCACAAATCCTACAATCTAAAACAAAGAAACAAAGCAATAATCGGTGGAGTAATCTATCATCTCCTCTGAGAAAAGTATTGGGAGTAGAAAGAGCAGAACTGCAGACTCCATAGCAGACCACAGCGCACCTTTAAAGAAAAAGTTAAAAGGCTCTTAAAAATTAATTCTCGAGTCCTCTTTTTAGAGAACTTGAATCTTGTGCTCATTTTGACAGGTTCCATTGGTCTGGAGGGGTGTAACAAGCACTTGAAGAAACTGGCTGCTTTTGGGATGAGGAATAGAAAGAATAATAGAACTGTTTAACTGAACAATAGGACTTGGGCCACGATGAAATCATGCCAAAGAGGATCGAATACTCTGCAATCTGGGGAAAGGGTGGCATAAACACAGACCATTCTAGGGCAGCCGGGAAGAGCAGGTCACCCAGTAGTTTCTGGATGCCTGGAACCCCACCAGGAAGTGGGATACCATCCTTCACATCCTGGCCCCGGAGTGTGGGTGACAAGAGCTCTGTTGTTCCCAGAGGATACGAAAGTGACTTTGGTAGAGCAAAAGGAGTTCTTTAATATTTCGAACCCTGAGACAGATTATGTCTACCTTTTCTTTGTTAAACACAGGAGGAAGGGTAATTTTCCCCTTCAAATAATAAAATGTATGTGACCTTCAAAGGCAAAGAAGACACCAACATATAAGAAGCCGGCGTAGGCTAAGTCTCGCTTGTCACAATGAGAACGCTGACTCTTTAGGGTACGGACGATGTAAGGGGGGCCTCATCAGTGAAAAACAGGAGAGCAAACACAAAGTGTGGCAAGTCAAGCCATAAATCCCAACAGGCAGCTAACTACTCCACCAACACCTCCATTCCCCAGGGAAGCTGTGCACCTGAACTTGGGTCAACGGGACGAAACACAAGGCACGCACGATACGCCCTGATTCTAGGAGAGACCACCCCTCACCTCCCCTGCCCCACCCCAGCTTTCCAGCACGTTGGTAGAAGGCTGGTAGAAATCCCAAGAAGCTCTAAGCCTGGCAGAGCTGGCAATACATACCCAGGTTGTGGGAGACACTGCAGAGGTGGCCACTGGTCACGCGGGGCAGTTGCGAGGCTGAGACTGCCCTGTGCAGCCAGAGGTCTTCTTTAATAGTCTTCCCCTGTTTCTTTCAGTTTCCTTTTTAGTAAAAGGCTCTTCTTTCTTTTTCCCTGTTTACCCTACTCTTCAGCTATTTGTACTAGGGGCGTTTTAAAGAAACCACTCCGTTTCTCAGAAACACTTGAGATTCTTGACCAACCTCTGATGAGACTGTCCAATCAGGGGTGGCTTGGTGGGGGGGGGGGTGCGGGTGGAGACCAAGGAAACCGTCTTGAGAACCGAGCTACTAGCCGGTCATTGCATCAGCCGCCCCATACCCGAGACTGGCCTCCGCATAACCTCTCCACCCTCTTCCTGATCCCCACCCGAGCATCAGGATGACTAATTGTTATGTGGAGTCGTGGAGAGGCCGAAAGGCGACCGTGCCTTCCCCGCAGCTGTTCACTGAGGCAGCGCAATGCAGTGGGAAAGATCAGGAGTTCTGGGGTCGGGCGGACCTGGGTTTCAATCCCATCTCGGGCATGTCTCTCGTTTCAACACGTGGCGCAAGCCACACTACCTCTCTGCCTCATCCTCGGTTTCCTCATCTGTGAAATGGGCATAAAGAAGCCTCCTCACTTTACCGTGGAGGGGACTGAGTACGAGACTATAGGCAAAGCCCCCGGCACGTGACAGACACCCGTTAACACTGGGGGCTTCTCGCCGCCGGGAAAGGGAAGAGGGAGGCGACGATGCAGGGTCGGTGCCGGCCGGAGTGGGCGACAGACGGGGACGCGGGCGCTCGGAGGAAGGGGGCGAGGAGCGCCGTGCCAGCCTCCACGCCCCTCGTGGTGCCAGAACCCGGCGGGCAGCGAGCCGGGCTCTGAGGAGGATACTCCGAGCCCTCGCCTGCAGGCGGCTCCGGGAGGGCCACGTCTTCCGGCACCGCCCCGGCCTCCCGCCCTCCCTCATCCCCTCACTTACCGGCCCAGCCGGGCCCTTCAGCACCGCCGGCTCAGCCACGGGCGGCCTCCTGGGCGTCCTTGGAAACTCCTTCCGGCCGGAACCACTTCCGGCCAGGCCGCACCATCATTGGCTGTTCGCGCAGAGGGCGGGACGGAGGCCGCGGGTGATTGGCTGGAGGTCCCGGCACCGGCGGAACGCATCTGGGCTGCGCTGTGCCGGCGGCACTGCCTCCGGGAGGACTGAGCGCTTCCGGTGCGTGTGGTGAGCGGCGGGCCCGGGGACGGGAGGGGGCTGGGGCCCCGCGGCGGCGGCCGGAGAGCACCACACCCCTCGGCGCGGCCCTTTCTCCGTCCCTCTCCTGTCCTTCGTCGCTGCCGCCTTCCGGCCGCGCAGTGCCCTGGACCAGCCTTACCTGCAGTGCTTGACAGCTCGGCTAACTTCTACTCATCCTTCAAAACCCAGCTCTGGTCGTATCGTCTTTGTTGCCTTTCTCAGTCTGTGGCCTCCGGCGCAGGAGCCGGGTTTTGTGCTTAATCTCTGTACACACGAGCCCCAGCATAGGGCTCAGGACAGAGTAGGTAGTCCGGAAATGTTTGTCGAATGAGAATGTCCTATTTCTTTTACTTTCTCTGTGCCCCCTCCTCCCACCAGGTTGCATCTCGCGAAGATTTCTAGATGCGGGGGATCAAACAGTGAGCAAAACACAACAGGTCTTGTCCCCGTGGAGTTGACAGGCCGGTGACTCTCAGGGCCACGCCCCCACTCTGTAGCCTCGTTTCTCCAGGGTCCTTAGCTTTTTCTCCCGAACCTCTTTGTCTTAGTTGAACGCCCCACACCGTGACGTAGTTTACTCCCCCCCAACTTGCCTTAGACACATAAAAGGCAGCACTTTACCCCCTCAAGTTTAGCTGTTCCCGATGTTTCCCGTTCTTCTCCATTTTTGTGTGTTTTCCTTGAGCCACCCTTGCCTCCTCCTCTCTTACCCCATTTGATTCGTTTTGCTGGTCCAGCCTCCAGGGCCTCTGAGCACCTCTGCTCCCTTCCCCCTCCAGAGCCTGGATTGCTCAGGTGTCACCTTTTGTCTTAGGTCGGCCTCGAAACTGCAGCCCCAGCCCCGAGCCCAGCGCCTTCTGTACTCTCCTCTGCTTTACTTTTCTCCTTAGGATTTCTTACTGCCTCACACCCTGTATCTCACCCGGTCGTGGTCTGTGTCTCCCGCCGGCATGTGACCATGGTGAGCACCGGGCATCGTTCACCGGGTTGCTTGCCGCGCGCTCCTGCTGCTTGGTGTGGGGCTTGGTGAGTAGCCCGCGCTCCGGCAGCGTGACTAAGTGGTGTACACGAAGCAGGTAGGGCCGGGAGCCTTGGCATCCACCCTTCTGCGTTCATTCAGGCCTGCCGCCTTGCCTGGTTAGGAAGGGGGCTACGGGCCTCAGTCCCACTGCTCTCTGATCTTTTGCCCTAGACCTCTTTTTAAATTCCGGCCATCGGCCTCTTTTGTGAGTTGACCTGCAGATAACGAGGTGGGTGGGATTCCATCATGGGGCTGGGCACGGTGGGGCCCTGGCAGGTTCCCCGGGAGCGGGAGCGGGAGGAAGGGTGTGCTGTGGTGTGTGGTGCCATGTGCAGGAGCCCGGACAGCTGACCTGTCGGATCAGGATGGGCCGCAGGACCGGGCTGAGTAGGTGGAGGACAGAAACGCCAAGTTGTTGGGAGAGCACAGTCCATTAGTCCCTAATTAGTCGGGTTTGTTGGTTCTGCTAGAGATGATTGGCTGGTTGCAGTTTTATTTTACCTGCTTAGGTTGGGCTGCAGGTGGGGGTGCGGTTTTTGGAGGAGGTAGACGACAGACGTTTTTTGAATGAAGATGTAACGCGTTGGGCGGATCGGCCCCGCAGGCGATCGGTACCCTTGGGGGGGCGGGGAAGGCGTAGAAGGAAGGCATGAGGTGGTTGATTCCAGGGAAGGAGCTGGGTGATAGCCAGGCGGTCCTGAGTGGCTTAACAGAGGACCCAGAGGGAATCTGTGGCGCTGCTCTAACCTCATATGCAGGACGGGAGGCTCAGTGTGGTGTAGTAAGGTAGGGCGGTGGGCGATCTTGGAAGTTGGTGGGTTGCGAAGTTTTAGCGCTGCTCCAGGGCGCCACCTGCTGTCCTGGATGTGCTTGACGTCCTTGTCCTCCTGACTGTGCTTCATCTTAAAAGCACGGAATGGGACTCCGGACTGAAGTAATTCTTTCCAGAAACTAGTTGGCAAAAATATATTGCATATGATGGTTCAGAATTTCAGGAAGAATCGTTTAAAGAATTCTTTTTACAGTTTATTTATTTAGAGAGCGTGTGCATGTAAGTTGGGGAGCGGCAGAGAGAGAGAGAGGGAGACAGAGCATCCCAAGCAGGCTCTGCAGTGTCAGCGCAGAGCCCAATGTGGGGCTGGAACTCACGAACTGTGAGATCATGACCAGAGCTCAAGTCAGGTGCTGAACCGACCGAGCCACCCAGGTGCCCCAGGAAGAAACTTTCAGAAAGGGGAGAGTCATGGCTGTGAGTTTGTGTTCGGAGTGAAACTGGGGCTTTTGGACCACACCTTCCAAACTGGGGGAATTGGTTTCTCCAACAATACCCTGATCTTGTGTTGTGGGTCTGCCTCCCCATCTGGCCTGTTGTTGAGACAGGATATCTAGGCGGGGTGGGGGGGATAAAGGAGGCACTGGAGCCCAAGGGGAGGGCGAAAGTGTGGGGGACGAGCTTTTCATACTTGGTGGGTTCTGGACATCTTTCCATTTTAGTATTTTCAGACCTACCCTCAGCGGCCCAAATTGACCTTACGAAAGACATCTTAAAATCTTGAATCTTTCTGTCCAGACATCCTGTCTCCATTCAGTCAGGTCCTCTTTTATATTTTTCAATATGAAAGTTTTAGTTTTTTTCCTATAGGTCTTGCTAATTTTTGTTAAAGTTATTCCTAGATAGTCCACAGTCTTCATTTGGAAAAAAATGATATCTTTTAATTATACCTGGTATATAGAAAAGCCCTCACTTAAAAGGTGTTTTTTTAAATTTATTTTTTTAATGTTTGAGGAGCGGGGGCTGTGAGCCGGGGAGGGGCAGAGAGAGAGAGGGAGACACAGAATCGGAAGCAGGCTCCAGGCTCCAAGCTGTCAGCACAGAGTCCGATGCGGGCCTTGAACCCACGAGCTGTGAGATCATGACCTCAGCTAAAGTTGGATACTTAACCAACTGAGCCACCCTGGTGCCCCAAAAAAGCCCTCATGTTTTTAATGTGTTTCTTCTTAGAGTTTTCCAATCGTGTCTTTGCTAGATGGCAGGTTTTCTTTTAATTACATGTGTATTTTCTGACATTTGACTTTGTTGGGTCTTAGGTAGTTTGTCCTCCGACGATAGCAAGAAACTGTGACTTCAATGGCTTCACTGGTGGCTTATGATGACTCCGAGTCAGAGACTGAGGCTGAGGCTGAGGAAAGTTCTGATGCTGCCAGCCAGATGAAGGACTTCTCAGATGTGGTCAAACCTCATGCGCAGGACTTTGCCTTGGAAGGCCCCGATGAGACGGAAGGGGCAGCGGTGCCCACGCAGCTTGGTTCTCGTGAAGACCCGGCTGGCCATCGTCTCCCGCTGGTTCGGCTCTGGAGAAGTGACCCGGGATCTTCCCCCAGCCAGAGGCTGCAGTGGCCCAGAGCAGAGCCCGAGGTCACCTTCCCCGCAGGCAAGCCTCTTCGGCCTTCCCTGTGGACCAGCCACGTTCCAGCCGGCCATGCGCCCCTGGCGGCTGCCCACTTGAAGCAGGTGAAACTCTCCCGGGGAGCTTACGACTCCCCCGCGTTGTCGTTCTGTGCCCAAACCAAATCTGAAACCCCAGGTGGAAACAGCAGCTCTCTTCAGAGGAAAAGGTGTGAGGACTGTGTCGTTCCCTATACCCCCAAAAGACTAAGACAGTCGCAGGCATTAAGCACAGAGACAGGCAAGAGTAAAGACACGGAGGCACAGGGCCCGTCTGTAGGGCGTGCCCCAGCCCCCCTCTCTGTGGCCCCCAGAGTGTCTGAGTTTATTGAGCCATATTTGGACAGTCAGTATAGAGAAACGACGATTCCCAAGAAAGTGCTCTTCCACCTGAGAAGCCACAGGGGCCCCGTCAACAGTGTTCAGTGGTGTCCGGTCTTTGCTAAGAGTCACATGCTTCTCTCGGCTTCCATGGACAAAACCTTCAAGGTAAGACTTGAGTGACACCCCTTCTTTGGGGCTCTTGGGATGTCCTGCTGGGACGTAGGCTGCTGGGGTGTCCTGTCCTTCACAACAGTGAGGTGGGGGTGCTGTGCACTTCTGTGGGGGAGTTTGTGTCACTCTCTCCGTTGCATTTAAAAGTGCTTTCTCGGTGGCCCACCCAGGATTGCTGGTTCCTTCTGTCCCCTCTTCCCCGATGCTGCCTCTCTGAGGGCACCAGACGGTACTAGTCCCCGTCCGTTTGGGGGCACTGAGGACACGCAGGCGCACCTGGAGCCCGGGGGAGGGGAGTGAGGCCGCTGAGCGAGGGCAGTGAGAGGGAGAGGAAAGCAGGCCCAGGACAAGCCCCAGGCCCCTGCGAACCGCACTGGGTGTTGAGCCGTGTGCCCACTCCGTGCCAGGCGGCATGCTGGCCGCTGGCTTGAGGGTGTGCAGCATGGCAGAGGCCAGGGACAAGTGGAGACGCTCTCCCAGCCCTCGGCTCAGGGGCGTGAGGACTGGACCCTCAGTGGGACCCAGGTGCTTTGTGAACCCCCTGCAAGGGACAGCGGCCCAGTCTGGGAGGCCCAGGTGAAGGCTTCCAGAAGGAGGGGGAGGTTCACTTGGTGAAGGGGGGGAGATGGGGCAGGAGGTCTTTGGCTGTAAGCGTGATGGGTGTAGATGCTGTGAAGGACTTCCGGTTTCCACAGAAACTTTCTTGTTGTTACTTATTTTAGTTTATTTTTTTAGTGTTTACTGACTTAAAAAAAATTTTAATGTTCATTTAATTTTTGAGATAGAGAAAAAATGCTAGTGGGGGAGGAGCAGAGAGATTGGGAGACATGGAATCTGAAGCAGCCTCTAGGCTCTGAGCTGTAAGCACAGAGCCTGACGCGGGGCTCGAACCCACAAACTGTGAGATCATGACCTGAGCAGAAGTCAGACGCTCAACTGACTGAGCCCTCCAGGTCCCCTTGTTGTTACTCATCTGAAAGCTCCTGAAGTCACACAGACTCGCAGTAAGCAGTCCCCAGGTGCTCAGGTGTGTAGTGTGGCAGCTGTGTCGCACCTCCCCTGACCTGTCTCCAGCCCCTCTGGGCTCTGCTCTGTCCCTTCTCACTCTTGGCACCACCTAGCAAGTTACCTGTATGCAGCAGGTGCCGAGTAAATGCGAGCTGAAGGAAAGCTTCCTGGAAAGAAAATGGCTTTGGAGTTGAAGGGACATGGCCTCAGATCCAGTTTTGCCACAGAGCACCTGGTAGTTCATGGGTGGTCAGCTGGCCCCACTTCCGGTCTGGCATCTCCTCTGTGAAGGGCACAGTTTTACCTGTGATCAGGTGAGAAAAACACTTACAAACCCCTAGCTCAGAGCTAGGTGCCCCTCCAGGTGCTCAGTGAGTGTCGGCTTCTTCCCTCTATTTTCCTCAGTGTTCTGGAACCATCCTACCACCCTAGGAGGCATCTTCTGAAATGAAGACGGGAAGCCTGAGTGCGGTGATGCTTTGAAATGAGCTCAGTTGTTGGGGGTCATTTTTTAAGTGGCCTGTCTGAGTCCTGAGACTGCTTGTCTGTGTTCTCTTCTGGCGAGGCTAACGGTCGGGTCGTTCGGGGGCAGTGCTGCGTTCTGCCTTTGGTCTGGAGCCCGGGGACTTTACCCTTGGGTCTTTGGTGCTTTCCCTGTGGGGTTGGGGGCTCAGGAGGCTTCTGATGTACACTTGACAGGCTTGGTTCAATCCCGAGCTGCAGGGGCTCCTGGCCCTCCTTCCCGAGAGGCTGCGGCCCACGGGGCACCCAGTGGGGCTTGTCTCTTTGGTCAGGAGCACATCTGGGGGTTTCTGGCGGGCCCGTGTGGGGCCTGCGTGGTGCCGGGCGTGTGTGGCTGGAGTTACAGGGGTCTGGGCTCAGGGTCAGTTTTGTGACCTTGGGAAACACACTTCACCTCTCAGAGTCGGCTTCCTCCGCGATCAAACGTGTCTGTGAGGCCTGCGGTTGGCACTTCTGAGGCGGGACACATGCCCAGGCGTGTGCGCCTGAAGCCCCCAGTCTAATGCCAGGCGCGCGGTGGAGTTTTGTGGAGGGCAGCGCGGCTCCTGGCGGGCCGCCTGAGGGGCACGGGCACGGGCATCCCCTGCTAGGCCCCAGGAGGGCGGGGGCGGGTGGCAGATGTGGGCAGCGCCAGCTGCAGGAGGAGGCGGGCTGGGTTGCTGCGGGGAGCAGCGGGCGGAGGGATTTAGGGGCGCACCTGCTGCCTGCCCGCCCACCTGAGGGGTCCTGTCTGCTGAAGGTGAGGGGCGGGCTTGGAGTCCTGTGGGGACTGCTCTGTACGTGGCATCAGCGAGGGGCCCCATGGGCCCTGCTTGGATCACTTTTGCCCGAGTTTAGGTTTTCTGAGCAGAGGCATCCACGCTGAGTGAGGCCGTTGACTTGGGGTGCTGTGTTTGTTCAGTCGCATACTGAGTGTCTGTGGGATGAGCGTGCTAGGTGCTGTGCACTGGGGATGTGGGGAGGTCCCAGTCCCCACTCGCTGTGATCACCCGTGACCAGAAGGGGGCGCAGTTGGCCCACCTTGGGAAGCCACTCGGGCGCCCAGGGACTGCGGGAGAAGAGCTGTGCTGGGGGTGACTCACTGAGACCCAGATCTGGTCCGTTTGCTGTGGAACTGGCCTTGGTGGGGCCTTCCCGAGGCGGCGGGGTGTGCTGCGGCGGTGCTGGGGCACCGGCCCCTCGCTCGGCCCGGCAGCCTGCCGGGGGCCCTGTTGGCCATGCTGGCCGTCCCAGGGGTGGGGGTGGGGGGCGAGGGCAGAGCTCGGCTGCCATCATGGCTGCTGGGGTCGGTGTCTCCTGACCCTCTTCTTCCTGTGGGGTCTTGAAAAAGCAGGGCTTTTATAAGCCATACATGCCAGCAGTGGAGCCAGGATCCTCTCTGCTTTATGATATTGGACAGTTCTCAGTGACAGTTATTCGGCAAACTGATTTTGAGCAACTTGCTAGCATGACAAATGTGTGGCAGGGGCTGGGGAAGGCGGGATGGGAAGACCGACTGGGGGCTAGGCTCGGGCAGGGCTGGGACCGGGCAGGGAAGTGGTCAGGGTCACGTGGGGCTGGTGTGCAGCTGGCCGCCCTAGGCAGGATGACACTCTTCCCCACTTCTAGTGTGTGTGGCTCGGTAGACATCGGGGCCCACAGGGTGGAGGGAGTGTGGATGGCGAGTCTGGAGTTGGAACGGGGCCGTGGGCGCCGGAGGAGTCCTGGCTCCTTGCAGCCCAGCCCTGGGTGGAGAGCAGACGGTCGGTGCAGCGGGGCAAGAGCTAGAGGAAGTGGTGTGACGGGTACCACCATCTCTGGGCTCCTGTCCTAGGGTGCCTTTCGTCTTCTGGGTCACATCTGCCAGAGTGCCTCCTTGAGCCCCCCTGCACAGGAAGGAGGGAACAGCTTGGGGGCCGGGGTCATGGCACTTTGGTTTAAACCCTTCTGCGTACCTCGCTGGCTTTTTGTGAGGAATAGACAATATCGGGTGTGAACTCCGTGGGCGGTGCCTGGCGCATAGTAGGCACTTGCCATGTTCTCATGGGTTCGCTCTCCCAGGAGTCTTCTCCTCCCCTTACTGCGCTGTGGCGTCTCATTCCACCTGCGTCGCCCTGAACCCGATCTGCTACACCTTGTAGATTTTAAGCTTCTTTAACATAGGAACTGTGCCAGCCCCGTTTATATATTGTCTGTAGCACCTGGCCCGAAGTCTAGTACATGTTCAGGGATCAGTAGAGACTGAAAAAATTTTTCTTGGCTTTTATTTCCAACCTTTGGGAAAGGATTTTCTCTTAAGTGCATAGATTTTATTTGCCACTAGGGGGCACAGTAAGACTTACTCTAAGCCCACTCAAGCTTCTAGAATGTGAAAGAATCCTTGATTCAAGGTAACATTTACTGAAATACGATTTCTTTTCTGATCAAGAGAAAAACAACACAATCCATCTGATTAATCTAAAGAGCATGGAGTGCCAGTTCCTTCATCTCCTTAAAATGTAGCTTTGGAATTCATAAATTTCAATTGGGTACATTACAGTGGAAAGATACTTATTTTAATATGTTCTAAATGTTCTGTGAGCTGTAAAATATGCTTATATTGGTTTTGAAAAATTTACAGCTGGAGAAATTAAGTAAAATAAAACAATGACTCATAACTCTGCACTGATGCTCTGTTTTCTTTTCTGCTGGTCCCTTCCTGCCCCTGAGTGTAGCATGCATCTGCTTCTCACAGTTGTAATCCCAGCACAGATACCCTTTTATTTACTCTCTTTATTTCCCCGTGTCCTCATTTGGCTCAACACGTTTGAACACCCACCGCACGTAAAGGTAGAATTCAGACTTTGAAGCCCTTGGAGAAAGTACAAGGGCTTCAGCCGAACGCAGGCCACCCCTACCTTCAGCCCCGCACACAGAGCCCTCTGCTAGGCACCGGACGAATTCTCAGAGGCACGTGACACGCTTTCTGCTTCCAGGGACCACCGTCCATGCATCAAAACCCTGGAGTTCTGAAGCACAGAAGGATTTCAAGTAAAACGTATGAATTAGGTGTTCATTTGTTTTACAAAATGGATTGCTTTAGGAATTCTTTCAATAACAGGCTTCCCTATGATACTTAAAAAGCCCCTTTTCATTTTTGATCATGAACATAATGAAAGCGTATTGTGAAAAACTTTGAAGGTGCCGAGCACATGAGGGATGAAGGAAAACACAGAAACCATGTCTAATCCTGACCCTGAGCCAGCGCCTCATGCGCACTGGGGGCCTCTCCTGGTCTGGACCCCACGCTCCCACGGGTTTGCAGAGTTGGGCTCCCTGCACAGTACGTGCTGTCTTCATTCTATCCCCGCCCACCGCCGTCCTTTGTGTTGTTTGTAAGGGGCACTTTTCCACCTTATTAAAAACTTTCCCCAAGCCTGTTTTCAGGACTGTCTCAGATTCCAGACTTTGCTTTGTCATTTCTGTGTTGTTTCCCATCATTACTT